GTCAAGGGAGGCTGTTTTCATCGCGAGCTTATGAGTTGTGTTTCTCCTTCCATTCTGCACCATTTTTGGTTACACGTAACTTTCCACAACAAACTTACACGTAAAAAATACTCTCTGGTTTCTGGAGAATATAGACTACAAACACACAGGACTTCCTCTATCAGATATTAAGGCAGCTTTGGAGAATATGACACCGCAGCTCACAACACTGTTAATGCAGATGTGTCATTTTCCTTTCTAACCGCACAACATTGAGGGTTCAAAGGCAAACCATCTTGCTAGACAAGATCTAGCCGTCAAGTTTAGCTGATCAGACGGACTGTAGGGGTGAGTTGGATGAGTACTTTCCATGTAAAAGCTTACAACGTTTCATTTTACAATATACTTTCCCCTCCATTTCGTCACAGGTAAAAACAGATAAAAATACTGATATACACAGAGGTACCCTTATTAAACCTTTTGTTATAAAAAGGCATTACAAATTAAGCAAAGCAATCCTAAACCAAAACCTTGGTTGGCATTAACCAAGAAAAGCCTAACTATAGAGCTCTTCCCAGTAAGGCAGACTTGAAAAAGAGGACATGATATGATACTTGGGTAGTTTTTGGAAATGGCTGTTGAGGAAACACACAATTGGGAAGCTTCCCAATAAGCTCACAGGTCAGGATTTAAAAAAAACACATCTACTTACAGACCTCTCATTGGGATAGGGCTTTGAGCCCCTCTCTTTCAGTTCATGGTTGACAGCTCTTGAAACTGACTGTTGAAGGAAAGAGTTGGATGTCCATTCACTATGAGCAGTCGGAGCACTATTATTCCATGGCTCCATCCTATGGCATCCTGAGAAAGGCTTATTTGTTCTGCACTTTGGTTTGTGTACTCCCTGAAGACATCTGTCTGCCAGGGTATTGGGTTAGCTGAGCCTTTAGTCTGAGCCACCAAGACTCCATGGGTATGTGTTGTCACCAAGAGTTATCAACTATCATCCTCAAAGATGGGTTCTTTTCCAGCACATGAATATCATTCACATGTTGTACCCCTGTTCTTATCTTAGCTCAGGTCAGGCAGGTGCTTGTAAGCTGAGAACTAGGGGTTCATCAATATTATGCAGTTATAGTGCTAGTGTTTGTCATGTATCATGTTCTTCAGTTGATGGTGGTTGGTGGTGGTAGGCCTAGCAGTTGGTGATGGAAGGGTTAATGTAAGTTTTAGGTCTAAAAGGTTGAGTAGTCTGTAAGTAAGAGTTCATGGGTGAAAGCAAATAAGGGTGGAGGCATGCAAGAGATAGGTTGCAGCTGGGTGTTTCTGGATATAAGGAGCCTAGCCTTGGGACTGATCTTTGGGAGAAAAGTATTTGTCTTATTTTGGTAGTATATGCTGCTGGTTTCCCCCCAGGTTTGTGGATTTTCAGTGTCCTGACCTGTCTCCTGAAGCTTTGGAATCCTGGAACCTTGAATCTTTGGACTGGCTTTTGACTATGGTATAGACCAGGGGTCCTCAAACTTTTTAAACAGAAGGCCAGGTCACAGTCCCTCAAATTGTTGGAGGGCTGGATTATAAATTGAAAAAAAAACATGCACACTGCACATATCTTGTTTGTAGCGCAAAACCCAATTTTAACAAATATAAATTTATTCGTATTTCAATGGGAAGTGTGGCCTGCTTTTGACTGATGAGATAAGATTGTTGCTGCTGCTGCTGTTGTTGTGTGCTTTCAAGTCGTCTCAGACGTAGGTTGACCCTGAGTGAGGGCCGGGTAAAGGACCTTGGAGGGCCGCATCTGGCCCCCGGACCTTAGTTTGAGGACCCCTGGTATAGACCCTTGATCCCTAGACTTTGCTCATTGAACTCTTGGCGTTTGATCACTGGATTGGACCTTCTGATTACAGTGTTATCTTGAACCTGCAACAGTGTTTGCTGTCAGCTTTGTTTGATATTCCGTGGCTGAGTGTTATCTTTATGTTTTATGTTTTGGACTATTTAAACAGCCAGAACATAAGTGCTGTTCAATTTAATTGTTTAACACAAACTGGGAGTTTGTTTGGTTCACCTCTGCTGGAATAATGGCAGAGCCCTGGCATTGTGACAGATGTGGAATGGGTGAGGATGTTCTCATAGCTGTTCTTTGAGCTGTGGTGCTGGAGGAAAGTGCTGAGAGTGCCTTGGACTGCGAGAAGATCCAACCAGTCCATCCTCCAGGAAATAAAGCCCGACTGCTCATTGGAGGGAAGGAGACTAGAGACAAAGTTGAAGTCCTTTGGCCACATCATGAGGAGACAGCAAAGCCTAGAGAAGACAATGATGCTGGGGAAAGTGGAAAAAAAAAGCAAGAGGGGCCGACCAAGGGCAAGATGGATGGATGGCATCCTTGAAGTGACTGGACTGACCTTGAAGGAGCTGGGGGTGGTGACGGCCGACAGGGAGCTCTGGCGTGGGCTGGTCCATGAGGTCATGAAGAGTCGGAGACAACTGAACGAATGAACAACAAGTTCTCATAGGTTCATCCATCAACTGAAGCTATTAAAGCAAGCTGGAGCAGTTGTCTCATGGGAAAAGCCACAATGGTCTATCAGGGGTCTTAGTGATAGTAGTTGAAGAAAAAGAGTTGACAGACAACCCTTGGAGTGAGTAGCTTTGGGAAATTTAAATTTGCTTATGCGCATGAGAAAGCATTAATATTGACTTACACAAGTAGACTACATCACACAGTTTACAGAGGAAACATGTGAAGCAATCTCATTCTGAACTGATAGAAAGCCTTTCTTACACAACACATATCCAAATTCCAACACAAAGAGCCTCAGTTATTCATGGATCTGTGTCAATGTTTTTGGAAGAAAGTAAGTGAATATTACGGAGTTACTTCCCTCAGGGAAATGGAATGTGTGAAAGAGTGGATCGAGTGATACAAAATTGGCTAAGCAGATTAACCGAGGATGAAAGAAAGCACTGGTCCGAACATCTGTCAGAAGTCATGTTTCTCTGCAATAATACAATTCTAATTTCCATTTGATTTGCACCTGTTTATTTGAAGTTTGGAAGAGAGATGAAGTTGCCAGTCAACTCTTTGGGGAAAGAAGGAACTCGGTTCATAAATTCATGTGAATTACTGGCAGTTTCACATCTCCACACAACATCCTGGAACGTATCCTTTGCAGATAAAGGGACAAAGCAACCTACTTCTGAAATCTATTGTGTTGGGCAACACTGAACCACTGCAAGAAGATGAGAGGGAGGCAAATCCTATATTTTAACAGGGTTTCCTATTATCTGCAATTTTGTGTACCCATGCAAAGTTCAAGAACATATCCCTGTGGATACGGGGGTTGCACTGTATAGCAGAGCTTGGTGGATTAGATTAGGTGCCCTAGAATGTCCCCTCCACTTCTCTTACTATGGAATCCCTTATGTGTCCAGAGGAAGGTGACTAAAATTATCAAGGGTTTGAAGAATAAAACTAAAACGATCAAGCGTTTGGAGTCATGCTACGCATCTATTGTGCCTTGGCCAGACCACACCTGGAATATTGTGTCCAATTCTGGGCACCACAATTGCAGGGAGATGTTGACAAGCTGGAATGTGTCCAGAGGAGGGGAGCTAAAATGATCAAGGATCTGGAGAACAAGCCCTATGAGGAGCGGCTTAAAGAGCTGGGCATGTTTAGCCTGAAGAAGAGAAGGCTGAGAGGAGACATGATGTGGGCCATGTATAAATATGTGAGAGGAAGTCATATGGAGGAGTGAGCAAGCTTGTTTTCTGCTGCCCTGGAGACTAGGATGCAATGGAACAATGGCTTCAAACTACAAGAAAGGAGATTCCACCTGAACATTAGGAAGAACTTCCTGACTGTGAGAGCCGTTCAGCAGTGGAACTCTCTGCCCCGGAGTGCGATGGAGGCTCCTTCTTTGGAAGCTTTTAGACAGAGGCTGGATGGCCATCTGTTGGGGGTGCTTTGAATGCAATTTTACTGCTTCTTGGCAGGGGATTGGACTGGATGGCCCATGAGGTCTCTTCCAACTCTATGATTCCATGACTCCATATAGCTGTGAAAGGGGTAGGTCCTCAAACAAGGTCATCCAGGGATTAGGCAATCATTTGTTGGATATTTGGATTAATTGGATAAGAGCAGTCCTGCACATTCTGTGGCCCTCCAGAAGTTTTGGACTTCATCTCCCAGAATTCCTGACCATTGGACAAGCTGGCTAAGGCTTCTGGGAGATGGAGTCACAAACACATGAAGGACCACAGATAGTGCAGGCCTGGGTTAGATGATCAGTATCAATGGTTCCCAAACTTTGCTCCTTTGTTTTGTTTTGGACCTCAGAAGTTTTGGACTTCAGAAGTTTTGGATTTCATCTTCCAGAATTCCTGACCATTGCACAATCTGGCTAAGGCTTCTGGGTGTTGAAGTCCCAAACACCTGAAGGACCACAGATAGTGTAGGCCTGGGTTAGATGATCAGCATCAATGGTTCCCAAACTTTGCTCCTCAGGTGTTTTGGACTTGAATTCCAGAATCCCCAGCTATCTTAGCTACCAGTTGAAATTCTTGGAGCTGAAGTACAGCACTTGGAAGGGCAAAATTTGAATACTAATGATCTACATGATCTTCATCAACTCTATAGTTTGACAACTAGATGTTGTCCATGAGTATGTGAACCTGTTGATGGACATCCAACTCTTTAAGACTTGCTAATGCCTACAGAATCTTCTCCCAACCAAACCATGTCTGTATTAAATATTCTCTTGATCTCCCTGCCTCCTACTAAAAGTTGATTATTATTTTCTCATCTTTGCTTCTGTCACTAGCAAAGGCAGCTCTTTTTGGTCAGGATTCACCCCACAATATATATATTTAAAAACCCTTCTAACTAGAAGTTGGTTATTATCCACCCACCTCTGCACCTGTCACAAGCAAAGGCAATTCTTTTTGGTCAAGATACAGATCAGCACATGCTGAGAACAATATCAAAATAAATAAATAATAAATAAAAATATCAATACAAGCCATTTGGGAAATTCATTTGAAGAAATTGGAATGACCAGGCATTACAGAACGGAAGGTGAATGGTCACCCAAAGTAATCCGGAGGTGATCTTTGGTGCCTTCCAGCCAGTCAACAAGAACCAGACGTGGTTGAGAACTTTGGTGGTGACTTCTCGGGTATTCCCAATATAGCTTTAAAATAGATGGACTCTTCTCCTGAAATCCCTGACATCATATAGATAGCCAATGCTTGAGCTGCAAGAAGAGAGAAAGAATTGGCTGAAAAATAAAACTTAAACATGATGGTATTTGTTCTGGAACGGCTGTTCCAGGGGCTCCAATTTTGTGTTTTGCACTGAGTATTTGTTCATAGTCCTAAGTTTCAGGGACTTCCTTTGGCTTCCTTTGGCTAAGTTTCAGATAGGTGGCTTCCTTTGGCTGCATTCATAGGGCAAGCCACCTGTCAGTAATAGTTAGAATCCCTGGTCCCGCCACTCCCTGGGTTTTTTGGAGGGAAGGGGCCATTTTTCATTTAGTCTCAGCAAAGGAAGTCTATGCAGAGGATGTATACAGACATCCTCCTGTACAAAGGCTTCGTCCCTTAAGACTTCCCAGGGGAGAACAGTCTTAAGCCTCTAAAGATTCCCAAAGGTTCCGGAGAAACTGCCTTACAGCCCTGAGGAATTCCGGAGGGAATAACAGCTCTAATCGTCAAGATCTCCAGCTAAGTGACTACAGGCCTGCTGGTACGTCTGCTCGGTTCTGAGACGCAGTTCAGCCGGTAGTGGATTCAAATCAGTCAGTCAGGTTTAGGTTCACAGTAGCCTGAGAGGAGCTGGAAAGGGGAATTTTCCTTTAAACAAAGTTATTGAAGATAGTGCCTGTTCCCTGTGGACAAGTTTGAGAGAACTGGTTTTTTTTTTTTTGCCAAGAAAGCTTTATAATTCCTGTTTGTTCATCAATAAAAGACTGTTATATTTAAGCTCAAGCCTCCTAAAGACTGTTTAATGAGGGAAATTTCTCTAAAGGCTCCTTTTCGGGGGCCCTGGCTTCCCGCTGGATTCAAGCCATACATCCTCTCTTAAAGGCACTTCATTTCAGGTCCAGCGGCGACAGAACAGTATTCTCAAAATGAGTTCTGTTCATTCTGATCCATGTGGCTCTTCATTAGGGGTTTTTCCCCCCACAACAAAATGGAAGAAGGGAATGCAAAGAATACTAACCTTAAACTGTCTCACGTTCCCTTCTGCTACAAGATGGTGTTCGTTCTCAGGTGTGATGCAGTAGGCTAGTCTCTAAAGACAAAGAGCATGAGGAGAAGAGAAAATCATTTTTGTGGACATCTATATTTGTGCATTATATATTGTGCGCAATGGATCAAATTTACATTCAAATTTTTGACTCATTAGCAATTCTTTATTAGGCTGAATGAAGGTAAAGCTTTTGGGAAGTCGGATCTGGCCACGGTGGTCCACGCTCTTGTTACATCCCGATTAGATTACTGCAACGCACTCTACGTGGGGTTGCCTTTGAAGACTGTTCGGAAACTCCAACTAGTCCAGCGGGAGGCAGCCAGACTGCTCACCGGAGCGTCATACAGGGAGCATACCACCCCGCTGCTGTGGCAGCTCCACTGGCTGCCAATCCAGTTCCGAGCACAATTCAAAGTGCTGGTTTTGACCTACAAAACCTTATACAGTTCCGGCCCAGTGTATCTGTCCGAACAGATCTCCCTCTACGTTCCACTCCGGAGTCTAAGATCTTCTGGGGAGGCCCTGCTCTCGGCCCCGCCTCTGTCACAAGTGAGAGGGACAAGGAGCAGGGCCTTCTCGGTGGTGGCCCCTCGCCTGTGGAATTCACTCCCTGGGGAAATTAGATCTGCAACATTGCTCCTTTCCTTTAGGAAAAAAAATGAAAACATGGATTTGGGACCAGGCATTCGGACAATCAGGCAGATAAAGAAAGGACTTTGACAATGATTAGGAAATGATCAATAGAATAGAACTATGGAACTCTGAAAAACGAAACGCTGAGCATGAGAATAGTTTTTATATGATATGTTATATACTGATGGTTTTGATTGTTTTAACTGTGATAATTGTTTTAACTATGTTTTGTACATTATGTGTAATTTTGTATAGGCATCGAATTGTGCCTTTTGTAAGCCGCCCTGAGTCCTCCTTCGGGGGTTGAGAAGGGCCGGGTAAAAGCACCCGAAATAAATAAATAAATAAATTTCCCCAGATGTTATTCTCCTTGAAAGTCTCACCTCTTTCCTATAAAGATGAGAAGCAAAGTGCCACGAAACAAGACTGCTGAGGACTGTTCAGAAATGAACTCAGGGAACTTCCAGGCCATTAAAAGCAGTCTTCGGATTTTTTTTAAACTACCGTATATACTCGAGTATAAGCCGATCCAAATATAAGTCAAGGCACCTAATTTCACCACAAAAACTGGGAAAACTTTTTGACTCAAGTATAAGCCGAGGGTGGGAAATGCCATGGCTACTGGTAAATTTCAAAATATTAATAGATACCAATAAATTGGTATCACTAGGTTAAATATTTTCAAATATTTACATAAAATTGTAATTTAAGATAAGACTGCCCAACTCTGATGAAATCATTATTCTAACCTTCAATGTAAATGCGCTTACTAGGCATGGTTAGGTACCGTCGGAATCTTCGTAATTTGGAATAAAGTTGGAAAAATTACCTTTTTGAAGCAATTTTGAAGTTTTTAAGAAAATCGGAAGTCCCTTTGCCCTTCCGAAGCTTTTTCTGCCATTTTTGTTACGACTCATGAAGTGAGTTGGAAATTATTCAGCTTTCCCCCGCTTCTGGTCCCTGGCCTCGTCTCAAGCCAGAGAAGTCAGGTTTAAAGCCAGAGAAGCCAGTTTTAAACCAGAGAAGTAAAGACTTTCCTTCACTTGCTTTCCCCCGCTTCTGGTCCCTGGCCTCGGCTCAAGCCAGAGAAGCCAGTTTTAAAGCCAGAGAAGCCAGTTTTAAACCAGAGAAGTAAAGACTTTCCTTCACTTGCTTTTCCCCGCTTCTGGTCCCTGGCCTTGGCTCAAGCCAGAGAAGCCAGTTTTAAACCAGAAAAGGAAGGAATTTCCTGGTCTCTGCTCAAGCCAGAGAAGCCAGTTTTAAAGCCAGAGAATTAAGGACTTTCCTTCGCTTGCTTTTCCCCGCTTCTGGTCCCTAGTCTTGGCTCAAGCCAGAGAAGCCAGTTTTAAACCAGAAAAGGATGGAATTTCCTGGCCTCGGCTAAAGCCAGAGAAGCCAATTTTAAAGCCAGAGAAGCCAATTTTAAACTAGACAAGTAAGGACTTTCCTTTGCTTGCTTTTCCCGCTTCTGGTCCCTGGCCTTGGCTCAAGCCAGAGAAGCCAGTTTTAAACCAGAAAAGGAAGTTCCTGGCCTCTGCTCAAGCCAGAGAAGCTAGTTTTAAACCACAGAAATAAGGACTTTCCTTTGCTTGCTTTTCCCCGCTTCTGGTCCCTGGCCTCGGATCAAGCCAGAGAAGCCAGTTTTAAACCAGAGAAGGAAGGAATTTCCTTGGCTTGCTTTTCCCCTGCTTCTGGAATAAAACAACTACTTTCAAAGTAAAGACCACCCAATGAAACAGGAAATGACACTTTCAAACCATGAACAAAAAGAATTCGAAAGTCTTGGAAGTTTCAAAAAGTTTTGAACATGTGAAAATCGGAATTGACTTTAGAATCGAACCACCAGCACTCCCTACATCCGAAATGAGTTTTGAACCATTTTTTTAATCAACCAAGCCTAGTGCTTACATATGCTTCCAATACTCACCACAGTTTGTTTTAACTATACATTTTGGGGAAAATGTTATGTGTATATGAATAAGGAAAGACTGACAGAGCTGAGAGAGGAGGAGAGGAAGGTGTGTGCTGCGTGAGAGAGGAGGAGAGAAAGGCAAGCTAGGTTGCTGTGCAGAGGTGAGGGTTCTGGCAGGAAGGCGTGGGACTGAAAAAAGCCCTTCTTTCAGCCCCATGCCTTCCTACCAGGACCCTCACCTGAGTATAAGCTAAGGGGGGCTTTTTCAGTCTCAAAAAGGACTGACAAGCTAGGCTTATATACAGTAAGTCATTTCCTAAGGGTTTTCTTGGCAGGACTTGTTCAAGGGGCTTTGTCTTTGCATGCCCCGGAGGCTGAAAGGGTATGACTTGCCTCAAATCACCCCATGGGCTTCCTAGTCAACCAGAGTCATAGACTCAATATTCAAACCACTACACCACATTGGGATTATGACCTAACCCAAAATAACATATCAGTGTTACTGCAAATGATTTATTTTCTAAAAAACGAGGAAAAACAGTCAGCACACCACATGACCTTTTAGACATTTTGCTCATTGCACCAAAAAGAAAGGGAAAAAAAAAAGAAAGTTGGATTATTCTGCAGTTATTAATGAACCTGGTAGAACAGGTATGGTTGGGTTTGTGTGTGTGTGTGTGTGTGTCCTAAGGATAGAAAAATAGCAACAACATGAAGTGATCTCAGAAAGATCTCTACCCTAAGTCACCCTTGGTTTTGTTTTTTGAAAGCTCTCACTATACTCACAATCTTAGTGGCCATTTGTTTTCTTCTTTTTCTCAAGTACTGGATGGCAAAGGATGAAACCAGCCCTGGAGGAATTGAAACAATTCTTTGTGTGGACACTACAATTAGACCAAATGTCTGTTCAAGCAAGTTTTGAATATGTCATTGCTTGCAGAGAACCTTTTTATAGGGTGAGGGGTGCTTTTTAATGATTTGATGTGGATTTTTAATGTGACCATTTTTAATTATGTTTAAAACATTATCTTAGATGTATTGTTGAAGGCTTTCATGGCTGGAATCACTGGGTTGTTGTAGGTTTTTTCAGGCTATATGGCCATGGTCTAGAGGCATTCTCTCCTGACATTTCGCCTGCATCTATGGCAAGCATCCTCAGAGTAGTTAACCTCTGAGGATGCTTGCCATAGATGCAGGCGAAACATCAGGAAAGAATGCCTCTAGACCATGGCCATATAGCCTGAAAAAACCTACAACAACCCATTATCTTAGATGTTGCTTTTTGTGAGCTCTTTCGTATCCCACTTTGAGAGCAAGGCGACACAAAGATATATATGTGTAATACTTATGTAATTAGTAATACACACTAATTATATAAGCAGGCTGAATTTACACTGACTTATATCCCAGGGTCTGATCCCAGATTATCTGCTTATCCCAGACTACCTGGCAGTATAGACTCATATAAAAGGTAAAGCTTTCCCCTGACATTAAGTCTAGCTGTGTCCAACTCTCAATTTCTAAGCTGACGAGCCGGCATTGTCCGTAGACACCTCCAAGGTCATGACTGCATGGAACGCCGTTACCTTCTCACAGAAGCAGTACCTATTGATCTACTCATATTTGCATGTTTTCAAACTGCTAGGTTGGCAGAAGCTGGGGCTAACAGAAGGAGCTCACCCCACTCCCGGGATTCGAACCACCAACCTTTCAGTCAGCAATTTCAGCATCTCAGCAGTTTAACCCACAGTGCCATGAGGGGCCCTAGACTCATATAATCCAGTCTGAATTTTGGGCTTTCCTAAAGCTTGCTGCTCACCATCAGAACTTTGCAGGATTTCTGGTCAGAAAAATCAGTTTATTAACCAGTCATTTTCTTTCAAGGTTTACTTGTTCTCCATAAATAATTTCCAGTTTCGTAGGGCTTGTCTACATATGTCTAATAAACCAGACTCACCTTGTATTTCATCCTGGCTGTCTTTGAGTTGTTCCTCCACTTCTGGTAGGTATTATGGGGTTAATCTGGTTTAGTCCCATGTTAAGAAAAGTCAGGGGGTGTTCTGGAGTTTGCCAGAAACGCTAGAGTAAGTGTGCACAACTTGGCTCTCTCCAAGTGTTTTGGACTTCAGCTCCCAGAATTCCTGGCCATTGGACTAGCTGGCTAGGTCTTCTGAGAGTTGGAGGCCCTAACAACTGGAGACCCAAAGGTTGTGCAGGCTTACGCTAGTGCAAACTCATGACTTTGGTGCAGTGTGGACAGCAGGCTCACATCAGATTCGAGTTTGCATGCTGTCTATGTGGGGCATTGCCACCACCCCCTTTGTCCTGCACTCATCATTATAGGGAAAAGGAGATGGATCATGGCCATGTTGCCACTGTTACTGCTCCTAGATAGCCTGTGTGATCTCTTGGCAATTGGTGGAACCTCATGCTACTATCAACAGAGGAACCCAAGTGTCCAATAAGAGTCCACTGGAGAGATTGACTCCCTCCTTGATGGTCATGGAGATGCTTCTGCTGATGTTAGTATGGGGCACCTGCAATGGTCAGGAACTTGACAAGTGACAAGGTTATGGTCCAGCAAGGCCAATGCAGTCTCAACTCAGGTGGACCATGTAGACCAGCGGTCCTCAACCTCTGGGTCACCAGATGTTTTGGCCTACAACTCCCAGAAATCCCAGCTAGCTGTTAGGATTTCTGGGAGTTGAAGGTCAAAACATGTGGGGACCCAGAGAGAACTACTGATGTAGACTCTAACTCAACACTACTGTGGGTTCAGAATGGTGCATGTGGCCACCTCCAGTATCAATCCAGCACATTTCTGTTCCAGACCAGCTCCTGTTTTACTGGCCAGTCTAGACACCACCTGACAAATGACAACCTATTCTGAACCTCTTTCCCAATATTGGATGTTCAATATGAAGACCAAACAATGTCCTCACAAGCTACTTTAGCGAAAGTCTGAAAATCTATTGGTATTGGAAACAGCTTCGACTTAACTCCTCATACTGTGGATTTCTTGACAGTGCAGAGAAGAAGGCTTTCCAATAGTAGTGACAGGAAAATTAATATGATCACAGATTTGAAATCTGCAGGGTTTGGAGATGGTAATTGGAAGGATAAGGCAGCAAGCACAATTGCCATGCAGAATAATGGGCTGTGCTTTTCACCATAGAAACAAAGATTCTCTAAAATTGGAGAAGAGTGTGGCTTCCCTGTAAGCACATATAATCGCCATACAGTCAACATTTAGCATTGTAACCACAGATCAGTTAATCTGGGTAGTGTAAAATTGTGCACTGGTATATCACCATCTACCTGAACCATTTTGGTTCTGAAATGGGGCAGTTTATGGGGGAAGGAGAACCCCACTTATCTTTCCCTTTAAAAGGAAATGCCTTCCATTTCCTGTGAGGTAACTCTCATTTCAGCTATTTTTAAACCTCAGCTGAGTACTAACCATAAATATTTAACACCACTATTGCCTTTGGGAGCAGTGGTGTCACTAGAGTTGGTGTCACCCAGTGCGGTAACCCATGTTGTCACCCCCATAGACCTCCTACTATACTGGACCATACAGAATCCTTAGGTAAAGGTAAAGGTAAAGGTTTTCCCCTGACATTAAGTTCAATCGTATCCAACTCTGGGGGTTGGTGCTCCTCTCCATTTCTAAGCTGAAGAGCCGGTGTTGTCCGTAGACACCTCCAAGGTCATGTGGCCACTGGCATGACTGCATGGAGCACTGTTACCTTCCCGCCGGTGCAGTACCTATTGATCTACTCACATTTGCATGTTTTCAAACTGCTAGATTGGCAGAAGCTGGTACTTACGGCGGAAGCTCACGCCACTCCCCGGATTCAAAACTGCAACCTTTTGGTCAGCAAGTTCAGCATCTCAGCGCTTTAATGCACTGCGCCACCATAGGCTCCCACAGAATCCTAAGCCATGTTCTTTGTACTAATTTTTGCTCATCGATTTGAACATTGATCTCAAGGGCCTTTTTTTGATGACAAAACTTCACAAATTGGCATTTTGCAAAACTTAGTTCTGCATTTTTGGCCTATCCTTTCTTGTAAGAATATTAGAGTTAATGTAAACATAGAGAAGGTAAAGATTTTCCCCTGACATTAAATCCAGTCATGTCAGACACTGCAGTGTGATGCTCTTCTCAATTTCTAAGCCAAAGAGCCGGCATTGTCCGTAGACATCTCCAAGGTCATGTGACTGGCATGACTGCATGGAGCACCATTACCTTCCCGCCGGAGCGGTACCTATTGATCTACTCACATTTGCATGTTTTCAAACTGCTAGACTGGCAGAAGCTGGCGCTTATGGAGAAAGCTCATGCCACTCCCTGGATTCAAACCTGTGACCCTTCGGTCAGCAAGTTCAGCATCTCAGCTCTTTATTGCACTGTGCCACCGGGGGCTCCCACAGAATCCTTAGCCATGTTGGGTTGTTGTAGGTTTTTCTGGGCTATATGGCCATGTTCTAGAGGCATTTTCTCCTGACGTTTTGCCTGCATCTATGGCAAGCATCCTCAGAGGATACTTGCCATAGATGCAGGCGAAACGTCAGAAGAAAATGCCTCTAGAACATGGCCATATAGCCCGGAAAAACCTACAACAATCCAGTGATTCCGGCCATGAAAGCCTTTGACAATACATTGAATATCTTAGCCATGTTCTTTGTACTAATGTTACTCAAAAATTTTTGCTCATCAATTTGAACATTGATCTCGAGGGCCATTTTTTGGTGACAAAACTTCAGAAATGGGCATTTTGCAAAATTTGGTTCCACCTGTATTTTTGCCTATTCATCCTTGTAAGAATATTGGAGCTAATGTAGACATAATATGGAGAAAATCAGAATGGTTTCTTTTGATTTTTATGACAGTGATAGAAACCTGGAAGCAGGTGGGAGGTATTCATTTTGATCTTTGGCGCTAAATGAAGGGGTGGCTATTTCCTACGGAATTGTTTCTCTGATGGAAATCAATCCCCACCCACCAGAAGTTTATATTTTTATATGTTGGAAATGATTTTTAACCACTTTTGCTAACATATTCATGGATGTAATTGGAAATCAGGGAATGGCTTGGGGGCAAAAAACCCAAAACAAAACAAAAAACCAACAACATGGCCCCATACTATTTCTTTAATCCAACGTTGGCCACAGCTGCTCTGAATTAAAGTAAAAATACGGGGAAATCTATGGATGATTTTGCTTCCCGTGCCCACTTTGTCCCATAATAGGTCAGAATCTGGGGTGCTTTAGCTTCAAATGTCCAGGACAGGAAGCAAAGAAGAGTGCTAAATCCTTCCTGAAAACGTCAAATTACTTAAAAGCAGTTTCCGAAAGGTCACCTTTCCGCATAGCGTTTGTGGAATTAAGGAAAGCAAACTCTTAGCTTAACGCCAGCGATTTTCATTTCACAAAGAACATTTCCATGACATTTCATTGTTTTTAAACTCACTTGTTTAAAGGTCCCCCGTGCTTTCAGTAATTTATACAGAATGCAGGCCGGCACAAGGATCATCGAAGACGACGCTATGCCCCATCCGACAGTATTGGCCCACGATGGGAAGACGTATTCATCGTAGGTCAGAGGTTTGAAAGTTGTAACACTGACTATTACCACAAACTAGGAGGGAAACGGGTAGAAGAAGAGACGTTTCAGTTTTCATCGAACCTTAAACCTCTTCCAAGTTGGAAAGGAAAAAAAGATGATGACTTGTTATCAAAATGGGCTGTTGTCTGCAAACCATCTTGAGATGTTTATGGGCCTTATATTTAGCTGATCACATAATTCTCAGTAGTGTGAATTATGCATCCCTTCCACTGTTGTTGGATTGTAACTTCCAGGATTTGTCACAATGGGTTATGTTGGATAATAGGGCTGGGCAACCACGGAAAAATTTGTTTCTAAACTCAATTCGTTTTTTGGGGTTTTTTGCATTTTGATATTTAAAAGAATTCAGAAATTTTTCTTTTAAAAAGTTCGATATTTACGAAATTTCGTAAAATTACAAAACAATACGAAACGAATACGAAACGAATACGAATCGATTCGTTAATGGCGGACGCGACCGCGCAATACGCTAAAAAACCTCCATATGGGACAGGGGGAACTTCTGAAGCTTCCCTCTCCCTCTGTTGTTGACTGTTGGTGTGATATTTATAATTTTTTTTCACTGATTAAACAAACAACAGCTATAAAACTTGCCCCAGACATGCGGAAATAATAACGAAACGATTTCGAAACGATTTCGAAACGAATACGAAACGAATACGAAACGAATACGAAGAAGGAAAAGAAGAAAAGGATAATAATTAAAACAAACAACAGCTATAAAACTTGCCCCAGACATGCGGAAATAATAACGAAACGATTTCAAAACGATTTCGAAACGAATATGAAACGAATACGAAGCAATTACGAAACGAATTGAAAAATTCATTTCGTTTTTAGATGCTCCTGAATGGTTCGTTATCGCTTCGTAACAAAAAAAAATAACGAATTTTTAACGAATTACGAAATTACGAAACGAAACCGCCCAGCCCTATTGGATAAGGCTAAGGAGGAAAAAATGAAATGCAAAGATACAGAATAGGGAACGCATGGCTCGAGAGCATGTGAAAAAGATCTTGGAGTCCTCGTGGACAACAAGTTAAACATGAGCCAATGTGATGTGGCAGCAAAAAAAGCCAATGGGATTTTGGCCTGCATAATAGGGAGTCTAGTGTCTAGATCAGTGTTTCTCAACCGGGGGTCGGGATCTCTGGAGGGGTCGTGAGGGGTGTCAGAGGGGTTGCCAAAGACCATCAGAAAACACAGTATTTTTTGTTGATCATGGGGGATCTCTGTGGGAAGTTTGGCCCAATTCTACCATTGGGGGAGTTCAGAATGCTCTTTGATTGTCGGTGAACTATAAATTCCAGCAACTACAACTTCCAAATGTCAAGTCTATTTCCTCAAGCTCAACCAGTGTTCACATTTGGGCATATTGAGTATTCATGCCAAGTTTTGAGACCACTTTGAGTCCCCCGAGGGGTGAGAAAGACGGTATATAAATACTGTAAATAATAAGTTTGATCCGGATCCATCTTTGTTTGAGTCCACAGTGTGTTTTGGATGTAGGTAAACTACAACTCCAAAACTCAAGGTCAATGCCCACCAAACCCTTCCAGTATTTTCTGTTGGTCATGGGAGCTCTGTGTGCCAAGTTTGGTTCAATTGTTTGTGGAGTTCAGAATGCTCTTTGATTGTAGGTGAACTATAAATCCCAGCAACTACAACTCCCAAATGACAAAATAACCACCTCCCCAATATTCAAATTTGGGCATATTGGATATTTGTGCCAAATTTGGTCCAGGGAATGAAAATACATCCTGCATATTGGATATTAACATTACGATTCATAACAGTAGCAAAATTACAGTTATGATGTAGCAACAGAATAATGTTATGGTTGCGGGTCACTACAACATGAGGAACTGTATTAAAGGGTCGTGGCAGTAGGAAGGTTGAGAACCACTAGTCTAGATCCAGGGAAGTCATGCTACTCCTCTATTCTGCTTTGGTTAGACCACTTTACCTGGAATATTGTGTCCAATTCTGGGCACCACAATTCAAGAGAGATATTGACAAGCTGGAATGTGTCCAGAGGAGGGCGACTAAAATGATCAAGGGTCTGGAGAACAAGCCCTATGAGGAGCGGCTTAAAGAGCTGGGCATGTTTAGCCTGCAGAAGAGAAGGCTGAGAGGAGACATGATAGCCATGTATAAATATGTGAGGGGAAGTCATAGGGAGGAGGGAGCAAGCTTGTTTTCTGCTTCCCTGGAGACTAGGATGCAGAACAATGGCTTCAAACTACAAGAAAGGGGATTCCATCTGAACATGAGGAAGAACTTCCTGACTGTGAGAGCTGTTCAGCAGTGGAACTCTCTGCCCCGGAGTGTGGTGGAGGCTCCTTCTTTGGAGGCTTTTAAACAGAGGCTGGATGGCCATCTGTAGGGGGTGCTTTGAATGCAATTTTCCTGCATTTTGGCAGGATGGCCCAAGAGGTCTCTTCCAACTCTATGATTCTAAGGCTGCTTGGAGATGCAGTCCATCAACCTTTGGAGGACCACATGATTCCCACATTTGCTTAAGATTCCAATTAAATAGAGTTTAACATGTTGATGGTTGGCCCAAATTGAATGATTCCAGGACATTATTGATGCTCAGGCCTGTGACCAAACATGTGCTATCAATCATATCTTAATAGTAAGGGTAAACGTTTCCCCCTGACATTAAGTCCAGTCGTGTCCGACTCTGGGGTGTGGTGCTCATCTCCATTTCTAGGCCAAAGAGCCGGCGTTGTCCATAGACACCTCCAAGGTCATGTGGCCGGCATGACTGCATGGAGTGCCATTACCTTCCTGCTTAGTGGTACCTATTGATCTACTCACATTTGAATGCTTTCAAACTGCTAGGTTGGCAGAAGCTGGGGCTGACAGCGGAAGCTCATGGCGCTCCCTGGATTCGAACCTGCGACCTTTCGATCAACAAGCTCAGCAGCTCAGCGCTTTAACGCACTGCGCCACCGGGGACTGCATATCTTAATACTGATGGGTAAATCTGTTAGTATTACTTCATTTTTTCCCTCTCAAATCCAATATTTGGATTTTACAAACTTTAGTAAATTGTGATATTTTAAAAAAACAATGCCTTGCATTCTAATCCATCTATCTCAAAGAGATCAGCAAATCAATTTCCCACACAACATATTCTAAATTCTGACCACTTCCCTTATTCCAAAATCTTAATTGCCTCTGCTAACTCTACTCCATATTTGTGTTTTTGCCACGGCATCCTTAGCTATTGCAAACCAAAGCACGAGCACAAATAGCTATGTGTCAGAGAGGGGACTTGAGCCTGTACGCAACTAGTTGTTTAATATTGAGTGTCAAGTTAAATCTTGCCACAAAGAAAGGCCCCGACAGTTTTGATTTGCTTATAATGTCAGTTATTACTCCTGCCATTCAAATATTGAATCAAAGGCATTTGATTTTTTTTAAAAGGGTTCAACGTGAAGTGACAGTTTTCCCCCTGGAAGCACTGCAGATTGGAAACAAAAGCCTTCCATGGCTCTGGCACGGTGTTTCTCAACCTTCCTAGTGCCGCGACCCCTTAATAGAGTTCCTCATGTCGTGGTGACCCCCAAACATAACATTATTTTCGTTGCTACTTCATAACTGTAATTTTGCTACTGTTATGAATTGTAATGTAAATATCTGATAGACAGGATGTATTTTAATTCCCTGGACCAAATTTGGCACAAATACCCGATATGCCCGAATTCGATTTCTAGTGGGGTTGTAGGGGACTTATTTTGTCATTTGGGAGTTGTAGTTGCTGGGATTTATAGTTGACCTACAATCAAAGAGCATTCTGAACTCCACCAACAATCAAATTAAACCAAACTTGGCATACAGAACTCCCATGACCAACAGAAAATACTGGAGGGGTTTGGTGGCATTGATCATGAGTTTTGGAGTTGTAGTTCAGCTACATCCAGAAAGCACTGTGGGACTCAAACAATGGTAGATTTGGACCAAATTTGGCACAAATACTCAATATGTACTACGTCCCAGAAGCACTTTATTAGAGTTTAAGACTCTCTGCACATTGCACTTGCCCAGAATCCCAACATATCACCTCGATGCGGCTTACAAAGGACCCGCATCGAGTCCTTCAGGAGATGCTAGCGGGGTAAAAATAAAGTTTAATAATAATAATAATAATAATAATAATAATAATAATAATAATATGTCCAAATGTGAATACTGGTGGAGTGTGGGGAAAATAGACCTTGATATTTGGGAGTTGTAGTTGCTGGGATTTATAGTTCACCTACAATCAAAGAGCATTCTGAACTCCACCAGCGATCAAATTAAACCAAACTTGGCACACAGAGGTTCCATGACCAACAGAAAATATTGGAAGGGTTTGATGGGCATTGATCTTGAGTTTTGGAGTTGTAGTTCAGCTACAGCCAGAGAGCACTGTGGACTCAAATAATGATGGATTTGGACTAAACTTGGCACAAAAACTCAATATACCCAAATGTGAACAGTGGTGGAGTTTAGGGAAAATAGACCTTGACATTTGGGAGTTGTAGTTGCTGGGATTTATAGTTCACCTACAACAAAGAGCATTCTGAACCCTACCAGTGTTTTTCAATGTCAGGAGCAACTTGGTAAACTGCAAGTTGCTTCTGGTGTGAGAGAATTGGCTGTCCGCAAGGACGTTGCCCAGGGGATGCCAGGATGTTTGATGTTTTATCATCCTTGTGGGAGGCTTCTCTCATGTCCCCGCATGAGGAGCTGGAGCTGATAGAGGGAGCTCATCCGCCTCTCCCCGGAGTCGAACCTGCGACCTGTCGGTCTTCAGTCCTGCCGGCACAGGGGTTTAATCCACTGTGCCACCAGGGGCTCCAACTCCACCAATGATTGAACTAAACTAAACTTGGCACACAGAACTCCCATGACCAACAGAAAATACTGGAGGAGTTTGGTGGGCATTGATCTTGATTTTTGGAGTTGTAGTTCACCTACATCCAGAAAGCACTGTGGACTCAAACAATGATGGATCTGGACCAAACTTGGCACCAATACTCAATATGCCCAAATGTGAACACTGGTGGAGTTTGGGGAAAATAGACCTTGACATTTGGGAGTTGTAGTTGCTGGGATTTATAGTTCACCTACAATCAAAGAGCATTCTGAACCCCACCAACGATAGTATTGGGCCAAACTTCCCACACAGAACCCCATGGCTTGAAGGGGCTTCCTGGTGTGAGCCTCCCTCCAGTCTTTCACGCTCTTCCTTTCCCACACATGCGCACCACATTGCTATGTGCAGAGCATGCCTGCTCTCCTCTTTTCGCTTGGAGTCTCCGAAACAACCCTCCCTTTGACTGAGAGGCCAGCCAATCACAGCGGAAGAGGGCTATTGGTGGGAGGGATTTGATGTCTGTTTCCCAAAAGGAAGAGAAGGACAGGCGGAGAGATCTTCAGTCTTCTCTTCCAGAGGGCTTCCTAAGTTTTCTGGTTGTCTTTGGTGACTCCTCTGAAACCCCCTCATGACGCCCCTGGGTCCCGACCCCCAGGTTGAGAAACGCTGCTCTAACATGATGGGTTTAAACTATGAATAAGTTTTTAATCAGTTTAAAGGGTTTCATTTAAGGAGTTAGCTTTTGTAGTTTTTTAAAAAAAATAAAATGTTTGCAAAACTTTCAAAATTCCCCCAAAAATCAGTGGATGAAATTTTCTGAAACTTGGTGGGATAACAGTGGTAAATGTGTTCTATACTTGTAGTTTCGTGCCAATAGCTTTAACTATTATGGAGTAAAGCATCCCTGAAGTTTCCCCATTGGCACATTTACTTAACAATAAGTAACGAAAAAGTAGTTAACTCATTGTAGTTACGATACAAACCTCATCCAATTCTAGAAATATTTTAGAAACAATTTTCTACCACGTCCTAATTTCGTAATGAGTATTGAAACATTTTTTTCATTGATTACACAGGCCTAGTATGGATACCAATATACCTTCTCCTTCATTGTATTTTCCTTCATCTGTATACAAAGAAACTTTGGGCTGTACTGAGAAAGGCAAGGGAGAATATATCCTACCAGAAACACAATTTCTAGTATTTCTACTGAAACATTAGAATTGCTTACCAACAAAAATGCTGGGCTCACAAATTTCCAGCACAATCTCCAATAGAGGCCTGGCTTAAAACCCATCATTTGTTGGATATCTTCACTGAATCTGTCCACACCTGAAAATGGATTGCAAATATTAAAACATGTTTTATTTATTTATTTATTTATTGCATTTATTCCATTTATATTCCACCTTTCTCACCCCGAAAGGGATTCAGGGCAGAGCACAACATATATACAGCAAACATTAAATGAAGGAACATAAAATAAACTATAAAATGGACACTTAAAATCAATTGTTGAAAACCATCTCAGATCAGCAGGGCAGAGTTTCCTACTGTTGCCTTATTGCACTGTCCCAAAGTCTTGGTCCCAAAGCCACGTTTTGACCATCTTTCTGAAGGACAGGAGGGAGGGAGCTGATCTAATCTTGCAAGGGAGGGAGTTCCATAGCTGAGGGGCAATCACTGAGAAGGCCATGTTTCTCATCCCCACCAATTGTGCCTATGACAATGGTGGGACCGAGAGCAGGGCCTCCCTCGAAGATCTTAGTCTCTGTGGAGGTTAATAGAGGGAGATGCATTTGGACAGGTAAACTGGATTGGGGCCAAATAGCGCTTTACAGATCAAAGCCAGCACTTTGAATTGTGCTCAGTAGCAAACTGGCAGCCAGTGGAGCTGATACAACATGCGAGTTTTGTGCTCCCTGTATGCTGCCCCCGTTATTAACCCGGTTGCCTCTCATTGGACTATTTGAAGCTTCTGAACAGTCTTCAAAAGCAGTCCCACTAAGAGTGCATTGCAGTAGTCTGTCCTAGATGTAACAAGATCATGGAGCACCGTGGTCAGTTATGATTTCTCAAAATACGGGCACAACTGGCGCCAAGTTTTAAATGTAATAATAATAATAATAATAATAATAATAATAATAATAATAATAGCAGGATTGAAGAGAAACAACGTGGAAAAGCTGACATGAAATGAGGATTTAAAGATCTCTACCTTCTCTACCTCTTTCCTTCCTTCCTCCCTTCTCTTTTCCTTCCTACTCTACCTCTTTCCTTCCTTCCCCTTTTTCTTTATCTCCTTCTTTCTCTCCTTTCTTCCTTCTCTACCTCTTTCCTTCCTTCCTTTGCTTTTTGCTTCCATCCTTCCTTCTCTCTTTCCTTCCCTCCCTCTTTCTCTCCTTCTTTCCCTCCTTCCTTTGCTCCCTCTTTCCTTCCTTCCCTTTTTTCTTTCCTTCTCTCCTTCCTTCCTTCTCTATCTCTATCCTTCCTCCCTCCCTTTTTCTTTTTCTTCCCTTTCTCTCATTTCCTCCTTCTCTACCTCTTTCCTTCCTTCCTTTACTCTTTGCTTCCATGCTTATTTCTCTCTCTCTTTCTCCCCTTCCTTCCCTTTCCCCCCCTGTATCGTCATTTAGCTTTCTTGGGTTTGTAAGTCCTTTCTGCTGTTTTGGGTTTTTTTTTTAATGAGTGATGGTCACTCGTTGGTTTGTTAGGGGTATAGTGTCCAAATTTCGTGTCAATTAGTCCAATGGTTTTTGAGTTCTGTTAATCCCACAAATGAACATTACATTTTTATTTATATAGATTACTAGCCATCCCATGCCACACATTGCTGTGGCCCTGTCTGTGTATATGTGTTTTGTGTGTGTATATATGTGATTTCCACATGCGTTATAATGCTTTTAAATTTTTTTTTTTGCTTTTTATTTATTTATTATTTATTTATTTCAAAGTTTTATATACCGAGCTTCTCACCTCATAAGAGGGACTCAGCCCGGTTTCCAACCATAAAAACACATACAATCGGTAAAATATCAAAATACACATTACAATAAAACATTAAAAAAGCACATATATTTAAAACTACAGTGGTCAGTCGTCATACTAAAATTGAATATACACCGTTTCTTCTGTTGTGTTTTTCAATGTTTATATGAGTGATGGCCACTTGTTGGCCTGATACATGTATTGTGTCCAAATTTGGTGTCAATTCGTCCAGTGGTTTTTGAGTTATGTTAATTCCACAAACAAACATTACATTTTTATTTATATAGATTGTACTTATCGAAAATATGGAGGGCCTTTGTGGATGTCAAGATACACATCAAGAAGACTGATTCTGTTCAAATTCATCCCCGAAGCAGTAGGGTCATATTTGTACTAATAAGTCAAAAAATATCCCTGTATGTAAATTTCATTTTTTTCACACTGGTTCTCCTAGGTGCAGCTAACGACCATAATAAATATATACATATGTGAGTACAAAGACATTGTTTTGGTTGGTGCTAAAATGTCAACTGAGCCTTTCAGCTAAGCAATGCTTCCTAAGGGTCACGAAAGCAATTGGAGAAGAGAGAAAGAAGCAGGTTAACTCCAACAACAAGAGATACATGCCAGATTTAACTAGCGATCATCTTGAGCATTACCTGCGGCCATAACAAAATTGTGCTTTATAGAGCAATGGGTCATAATGTGGCCATGAAAAGAAAATCAGTTAACTGCTTCAGACAGATGATTTGGAGAAGGGAGAGGGGTGGGACGGGCATCTTCTAATATCAATTCATGGAAAGGGATGGGAATGTTAGAGCTGGGAAGAGAAGAAATGGTAGGAATTAGGACAGAAAGGAATTCCAATACATAGAACTGCTGGGAGAGTCCCAAATCCAGAATGAAAGTATTCTAAAGAGATGGTTAAATAATACATTAATAGTTGAGAAGAATAAGAAAGGACCTCTGCTCCTTTGGATCCTATCCTCCAGAGTAATAATTTTCCATGACGGCCCTTCAAATAATGGAAGATGGCAGCCTGACTTTCTCTTAATGATTTCTTCTCCAGGCCAAGCATATGGACATGTTTATATTTCTTCCAAGTATTTGAGAAGTTGCTGCCAGACTTCAGTCAAAGAGCAACCCCCAAGTGTCATTTTTAAACCATCAGGCAAACAAAATAATTGGATGTCAGCATGTTATCCAACAAAAACATGTAATCCAAGTTAATTAAAAAATGATGAACAGCTGTTGGTCCAGTCGTATAACTTGCTTTTTGCTAAAACAGCTTCTTTGGGTAATGGATGCAGGGACAATTCAGTGGTTGCTGTCCAAAGCGTGATGGCCAAATCTCATCCTCATAGATAGCAACACTCCTAAAGAGAGTCCAAATGTCCAGATCATTGGATGGATCCATATCAATAAAGCCCTTCTTGCTCTCTTCGTCTTTATCAAGAGCGCTTCTACTCTGTGTTGCAATACTGATATGATTCCACTTCAGTTGCCATGGTTGCATTGCATGGGATTCTCGTGTTTGTAGGTTGAAATACAACACCGCCTGAGCTCTACGAGTGCAGCTTTTTTCCGAATGGAGCAGAGAGTGTTTGAGGACCGGGACATCAGTAGGGATGCTGCACTCGCAGAGCTCAGGCGGTGTTGTATTTCAGTGTCAATGTTGACTTTTGTGGAGAGGTGGCTGCCAAGGTAGCAGAAATGGTCAACATTTTCTAATGTTACACCATTAAGCTGCATCTCTGGGAGACGGTGGTCAGGCATCTGGACAACGTGGCCAGTCCAGCGAAGTTGATGGTGGAGGACCATCGCTTCAATGTTGGTGGTCTTTGCTTCTTCCAGCAACACACTGACATTTGTCTGTTTGTCCATTAAGCTGTATCTCTGGCATTGGAGAGGGATTGGCTGGTGGCTGCTGGAAGAGCTCTTTGGTTCTCTCGATGTTCAATGACAGGCCGAGCTTCTCGTATGCTTCTGTGAAGGTGTTTAGAGTGGCTTGTAGGTCTTCTTCTGAATGCGCACAGACAACGTTGTCATCAGCATGTTGGAGTTCTATAACAGATCTTGTTGTAACCTTCGTTTTGGCTTTCATTCTGCTGAGGTTAAATARCTGMCCRATAGATGATTTCCACTCCGGTGGGAAGCTTTCCATCAACAAGATGAAGTATCATAGCGATGAAGATGGAAAATAAGGTTGGTGTCGCACCTCAGGTTAAAATCACCTTGTTTAAGACACCAAAGAACACGCCAGCAGTTGTCTTTATGGTTTATTAAAGTAAAAAAAAAAAACGTTCAAAAAAGGCAAAAGTATATTTCAGAAGATCAATCCAAGGTACCATAGGCAAACAAGATCCATGAAGACACAGGGAAGGCAAAGTCCCATGAGAACATGAAAAAGTCCCAAAACATGAACATGAGTAATAATAATAATAATAATAATAATAATAATAATAATAATAATAAACCTTTAATTGTACCCTGCTACCATCTCTCGAAGGACTCGGTGCGGCTTACAAGAGGCYGAGCCCAAATACAATAGTAAAAACAACAGCAACAACAAACAGCAAAATAACTAAAAAAACAGAGCAATAACATTAATAACACAACAATGACGCAATTAAAATCAATGGCAGGGCCAAATGTAATAATTAAAATTAAAAGTGCTGGGCATGACCAACATGAAAGCTGCAAGTTAAATCCAAAGTCTCTTGGTTGAAGTGGGAAGTTGCTCTGACACTGAGGCATATCTAAACAGCCTGTTTAATACTCTTTGGACAACATGAAGGCGTTCCTATGGCTAGCGATCCTGACACTCCTTCGAACCTTAAATTCCAACTGCACGATCTAAACCACTGGCTTCATCAAGGTCAATTCCTTCGTTAATGCTTTTCCCCTCATTATCAGGCTGAGAACTATCTGGCTGAGAACCGTCCTCCCTTCCAAAATCATGCACCTGGGTCTCAGTAGTTTCACTTTCCCCAGCGTGATCCCTTGTTGTGGGAAACAACTGAACTTCTGCCTCCTGTTCCTGGTCTTCTTCGTCTAACACAGGAACATCATTGCTTTGCACCTGACTGTGAATCTGAATCCCATCATCCCCATCATCCCCATCAGAATCATTGACACTATCACTCTGAGATTCCAGCTGAGTCACAACAGTTGGGGCAATAACACATCCCTGCTTGGCACCTGATTCCACCTTAAATGGGTCACTTTTGGAGCCATTGCTGTCCAAGACTGTTGCCATCATGTCATCATGGAGTTCAAATTTGTGAACATCCTTGGCTCCACTACATTGCAGGTCATTGTTGTGGTGGAGGTAGTATTTTTAGGTCCCACATCACCTCTGATATGGATAAAGCTAGTAAAGGTGGATTTGTATGTTGAGGGGTTCTTAAGAGTTTTGTGACTCAGGAATTAGGAAAGCGATTGGGACTGGTGTGCTGTCATGCGCTGGGCCTATAGCAATTGGCTTTTGAACAGGATGTGCTCTTTGTGCCCAGCGGGAAGCTGGGGTGCCTCGAGTGAGAGGCCCTAAGGATTTTCCTATACAGAGTCTTTAGAAGCTTGAAAATTTTAACAAAGTCCTTTATTATTGCTTAGGTCTTCAACAAATTAAACAAATGCTTCTCAGATCTTCAACAGGTCAAACAAATACTTCAAGGCTTTGAATCAACTGGTGGCTTTCTTAATCTTGTCCACAATGGGCAGGCAACTGGCTTCGTGAACTGATTCTTTTCTTTAAGAGGAAAACCCTTTTTAACCCCTCTTTGGGCGATCTACTTTCTAAACTTTGCTGGTGTGGGCTCTACTCCCGGTTCCAAACTGCTTCTTGGGTCCCGAGTAGACCTACCAGTCAAGGCTTTGTAGATTCTCCAGCTGGGGTCCTTTGGAACTGTTTCCCCCCGGAATTTCATAAGAAATGAAGCTTCTCTACAGGTGGAGCTGATTCACGTCCTGTAGCTAAGCTTTCAACTGTAAGATTGAGCTAAAATGGCTCCCTTTCCTTCCTGAACCCTGGGGAAAGGTGCGGAACTAAAAAACCCAACGATGATAGGCAGGTGGCTGCAAACCAAGGGAAGCCACCTTATTGCAAAATGCATGGAACTTTGGAATACATGCAAATACTCAAAGAAAGAAAAGGAAGTTGGAGCTCCTGTTACAGCCGTACCAGCACAACTAGCGTGGTTTCTTGCTCTCTCCTTTTATTTCTGTCCCATTTGAAAGATGGCTTCAGCCAAGCAAATGAATGGAAATTACCTGCCAGGTCCCAAGTATGCAAAGCCCTGCAATTAAGGGTATTTAGACAAGACGACAGTAATTGAGGGCATAATGTATATGAAGCTCTCCACCTTCAAGGTAGTGGTTTGGAAGCTTCCCGGTTCACTCCTGGGCTCGACAATATGTCATTAAGGACCCATTTCTCCCCAGTTGCCCAGCTGTGTTTAGTAAACTCTGTAAAGAGCTGTTATAATAAATACAGCCCTAGCTTTTCCACCTTAGGTTACCTAAGCACATTCATTTTTATTTGCGGGAGGAGAATAGGCATTTGGCTGCCTGCCTAGCAATGTTATGGCTGTGTATGCAGTGCAAACGGGGGAGTAAAATTCATCTCACTGTCTCCTTTACACGACTGGGCTGTGTTTACGTCTGCTAGCTGTTGGCATATAGAGACCATCAGAGGCCAAATGTGTTGCATTACAACTTACTGGAGTGACATACAGAGAGCATACCACCCACCACCCCCCATTATGTCAGCTCCACTGACTACTGGTCCAGTTCCGAGTACAAGTGCTGGTCTTGACCTATAAAGCCCGATATGGTTCTGGCCCAGCTTACTTGTCCGAATGTATCTCCCCCTACGTCTCACCTTGAAACTTATGATCTTCCTGCTCTCGATCCCACCTTTGTAGCAAACATGCTTAGTGGGGACGAGGGACAGGGCCTTCTTGGCGGTGGCCCCCCACCTGTGGAACTTGCTCCCCAGTGAAATTAGGTCAACAGCTTCCCTCCTTACCTTCAGGAAAAAGTTGAAGACGTGGCTATGGGACCAGGCATTCGGATAGCAGGCTGACAATAAAAATGACGACAATGCTATGGAAAATGGACTATGGACAGGCTTCGGATCAAGTTGTTGATCATAGAACTCGGACTTCGACATGCCAACTAATTCAATTTGCACTAATTTTAATGTTTTACTTATTATGTAACTGTTGTTTTATCTGTATATGGGGGGCATCAAATTGTTGCTGGCTGTAAGCCACCCTGAGTCCCTCTTCAGGTGTAGAGAAGGGCGAGGTACAAATATTTGAAATAAATAAATATATGATGACAAATTCTTCAACCGGTTTTTCCAGAAAAGGTGAACCTGTGTTGTCAAAGGCTTTCATGACTGGAATCACTGGGTTGCTGTGTGTTTTTCAGGCTGTATGGCCATGTTCCAACAGCATTCTCTCCTAACGTTCCACTTGCATCTGTGGCTGGCATCTTGAGAAGTTCTGTTGGCATTGATTCAAGTGGAGTGTATATATACTCCTCCCCTCCCCAAAACTTCTCTCCTCATTGGCTGGGGGGCAAGCAGCTTGCATGCTGGGAGGCTGCTTGTCTCCAAACACTGACTCACTTCCGACTCACTTCTTGAGTCGTATCAAAAATGGCGAGGGAAACTTTGAAAAGGAAAGAGACTTCCTGTTTTTAAAATAACTTCAAAATTGCTTCAAAAAGATAACTTTTCCAACTTTATTCCGAATTACGAGTATTCTGACGATACCTAACCATGCCTAGTAATTACTGTATTTACGAATTTAACACAAAAACATCACAATATATTGAAACAGCTATGGATCCAGGCAGGAGGCAGACTTTGTTCGATAACACAGAACGTTGGATGATCAAAGGTTGGATAAGCGAGACTCTATATATTTAAGTACTCCTGAGCAAATGCTCATGTCTCCCTTATTCTTGTAGGTTACACGTCATTCAAACACAGATAAGTTTACAAGGAAACATATTTTTACTTGCACATTTTCCTAAATATACTACTTCAGCTTATGAGCATTTCTAACCGCTCCCCCCTAGTCTGCTTATTATAAAGACATATATATCACAACAGTGTTTTGAGTCTTATTTTACTTTCCTTGCAATAATGATTTTTTTTAAAAAAAAAACAAATAAATGAGGTGAAGAAATGCTCACTTGAGGCAAGAGGCCAGCATTGTCTGTTAATAATCTTGGGTGGATACAGTTGTAACTTAAACCAGAGAGATCTTCATGTTCCCTCTCTCCTATGCAATTATGACGTTATTTGCTTCTATTACATTGGGCTAATTTCCAGTGAGAGAACAATGGAGATGATCTTCATCCCCTTTCTGCCAACTTACCATAAAACCAAGAAACACCAATGGCTTCCATTAAAACAGCAAACAAGATGGACGTTCCTGCAGCAAATGTGTCTAGTAGGGTAAGCACGTAGATTCCACCCTAGGCAAGGATAAGGAAGCAAGAGAAGGATATGGAAACATGCAATAAGATGTAATTGCCCATTATTCCCAGACTATCTCCAAATACCAAAAGATTAGGGCTGGGTAACCACGGAAAAATTTGTTTCTAAACTCGATTCGTTTCCAGGGGGCGCTAGCGTTTCCGAATTCTAAATACTTCCAAAATTTTGAGATTTCAAAATTTCATTATTTATGAAATTTCGTTAATTTTGAATCGATTCGTTAATGGCGGACGCGATTGCGCAATATGCTAAAAAAAACCTCCAAATGGGACAGGGGGAACTTCTGAAGCTTCCCTCTCCCTCTGTTGTTGACTGTTGGTGTGATAAAACAAACAACAACTATAAAACTTGCACCAGACATGCGAAAATAATTACGAAATAATTACGAAATAATTTCGAAATAATAATGAAATAATTACGAAATAAATTGAAAAAATTGTTTCGAATCTAATTTACTCCTCACACTATTCCTGCATGGCTCAATATTGGATCTTAAGCTAATTTAAATACGAATTAATAACGAATTACGAAATTAACGAACAAAACCGCCCAGCCCTACAAAAGATCATTCAATTTACTTGACTCTCACTACGTCCTTTCTGGCCTCCTCCAAGATAATGGATCCATAACCAAATAACAATGTTACTTAGAACAACTGCTGCCTTCTTCTTGTCATTGAAATACTTTTTGGTATTTGATTGTCCTAAGGTAAAGGTAAAGGTTTCCCCTGACATTAAGTCAAGTCGTGTCCAACTCTGGGGGTTGGTGCTCATCTCCATTTCTAAGCCGAAGAGCCGGCGTTGTCCATAGACACCTCCAAGGTCATGTGGGGGTTGGTGCTCATCTCCATTTCTAAGCCGAAGAGCCGGCGTTGTCCATAGACACCTCCAAGGTCATGTGCTCCCCTGGTCACCGCCAAAACCTGGGGTTCCATGACTGCATGGAACACCATTACCTTCTCGCCAGAGCGGTACCTATTGATCTACTCACATTTGTTTATTTATTCATTTACAACATTTATATGCCGCCCTTCTCATCCCAAAGGGGACTCAGAGTGGCTTACAAGATACATACAATATATTATATTATTAGCATAGTACAATATGAGTATTATATATTACTATATTGTATATAGGAGCCCCCGGTGGCGCAGTGCGTTAAAGCACTGAGCTGCTGAGCTTGTTGATTGAAAGGTCGCAGGTTCGATTCCGGGGAGCGGCGTGAGCTTCCGCTGTCAGCCCTAGCTTCTGCCAACCTAGCAGTTCGAAAACATGCAAATGTGAGTAGATCAATAGGTACCGCTCCGGCGGGAAGGTAACGGCGCTCCATGCAGTCATGCCGGCCACATGATCTTGGAGGTGTCTATGGACAACCTGGCTCTTCGGCTTAGAAATGGAGATGAGCACCACACCCCAGAGTCAGGACATGACTGGACTTATGTCAGGTGAAATTAGCATTTTACAATATCAGTATTATATATTACTATATTGTACTATACCATATATTGTAATATAATTAGTAATATTACATGTAATATAAAATATATAATTATAATACCATATTAGTATTAGTAGTATTATATTGTATTACATTATCTATATAAATAAAAATGTAAGTTTCGTTTGTGAGATTAATAGAACTCAAAAACTACTGGACGAATTGACGCCAAATTTGGACACAAGACACCTACCAACCCAATGTATGTTCTTCACTCAAAAAAATTGATTTTGTCATTTGGGAGTTGTAGTTGCTGGGATTTATAGTTCACCTACAATCAAAGAGCATTCTGAACCCCACCAACGATGGAATTGAACCAAACTTGGCACATAGTTCTCCGATGACTAACAGAAAATACTGGAAGGGTTTGGTGGGCAGTATCCTTTGGTTTTGGAGTTGTAGTTCACCTACATCCAGAGATCACTGTGGACTCAAACAATGATGGATCTGGACCAAACTCTACACGAATACTCAATATGCCCAAATGTGAACACTGGTGGAGTTTGGGGAAAATAGAATCTTGACATTTGGGAGTTGTAGTTGCTGGGATTTATAGTTCACCTACAATCACAGAGCATTCTGAACCCCACCAACGATAGAATTGGGCCAAACCTCCCACACAGAACCCCCATGTGGGCCACAGCAATGCGTGGCAGGGGACGGCTAGTCTATATAAATAAAATGTAATGTTCATTTGTGGGATTAACAGAACTCAAAAACCACTGGACGAATTGACACCAAATTTGGACACAAGACACCTAACAATCCAATGTATGTCCTTCACTCAAAAAAATTTGATTTTGTCATTTGGGAGTTGTAGTTGCTGGGATTTATAGTTCACCTACAATCAAAGAGCATTCTGAACCCCACCAACAATGGAATTGAACCAAACTTGGCACAGTGAACTCCCATGACCAACAGAAAATACTGGAAGGGTTTGGTGGGCAGTGTCCTTTGGTTTTGGAGTTGTAGTTCACCTACATCCAGAGATCACTGTGGACTCAAACAATGATGGATCTGGACCAAACTCTACACGAATACTCAATAAGCCCAAATGTGAACACTGGTGGAGTTTGGGGAAAATAGAATCTTGACATTTGGGAGTTGTAGTTGCTGGGATTTATAGTTCACCTACAATCACAGAGCATTCTGAACCCCACCAACGATAGAATTGGGCCAAACCTCCCACACAGAACCCCCATGACCACCAGAGTGGGCCACAGCAATGCGAGGCAGGGGACGGCTAGTAATATTATAAATATTATATGTATCTACAATATATTATATTATATTATATCATTAGCATAGCACAGGAGACAAGGTGGAACTGTCCCCTGGCCCCCTCTTTCTTCACTCTGGCCCAGAGTGGCAGTTGGTGCTGGGGGAAAGGGTCCCCAACTGATGACATTTGCATGTTTTGAACTGCTAGGTTGGCAGAAGCTGGGGCTAACAGCGGGAGCTGACCCCACTCCCCGGATTAAACCTGTTGCACCACCGGGGGCTCCATTTATCCTAACCTACCTTCAAATATCTTTGAATAAGAAGGACAGAAATTCTATTCTTTATAATAAACAAGTAAAAAAATGGTTGGCCAAGGGGACAGACGCTGGGCAGCTCCAAGTAGTTTAAATAGTTTTACACCTGTCTCGTGTGTTTGACGTTCTCCTTTTTCTAAAAGAAAGCCAATTGAAAACACATTGCTCTTGTGTGGTTATTTGAAAACAAAATAAATCACAGAATTGCAAGGGACTGATTTCTGTTTTGTTCCTAACTGACGTCAATACATTATATATGATAACATGTTTGTAGATGAAACAAGGATAGAATTGAACAAATTAATTCAAGTGAGAATCAAATGCAGGAGTCTATGTTTATTCAACAGCTACAAGCTAAAAATCATAAGTGATAACAACGGTACTCTTTGTATACTAAATTTCTTAAGGTTAAAACAATATATTTTTAAAAGCTACCCTAAAACTATTTAAATCAACAGAACAGCCTCTAAGATAAGAATTAAACCAGTGTTTCTCAACCTGGTGGTCAAGACCCTTGAGGTGGGGGTCATGAGGGGGTGTCAGAGGGGTCACCAAAGACCATGAGAAAATACAGTATTTTCTGTTGCTCATGCAAGTTCTGTCTGGGAAGTTTGGCCCAATTCTATCATTGGTGGGGTTCAGAATGCTCTTTTATTGTAGGTGAACTATAAATCCCAGCAACTACAACTCCCAAATATCAAGGTCTATTTTCCTCAAACTCCACCAGTATTCACATTTGGGCATATTGAGTATTCGAGCCAAGTTTGGTATAGCTCTATCATAGTATTGTCGAAGGCTTTCATGGCCGGAATCACTGGGTTGTTGTAGGTTTTTTCGGGCTGTATGGCCATGGTCTAGAGGCATTCTCTCCTGACGTTTTGCCTGCATCTATGGCAAGCATCCTCAGAGGTAGTGAGGTCTGTTGGAACTAGGAAAAGGTTTATATATCTGTGGAATGACCAGGGTGGGACAAAGGACTCTTGTCTGCTGGAGCTAGGTGGGAATGTTTCAACTGACCACCTTGTTAGCATTTGATGGCTCGACAGTGCCTGGGGCAAACTTTTGTTGAGAGGTGATTAGATGTCCTTGTTTGTTTCCACTCTGTTGTTGTGCTGTTGTAATTTTAGAGTGTTTTTTTTAATACTGGTAGCCAGATTTTGTTCATTTTCATTGTTTCCTCCTTTCTGTTCAAATTGTCCACATGTTGTATTTCAATGGCTTCTCTGTGTAGTCTGACATGGTGGTTGTGAGAGTGGTCCAGCATTTCTGTGTTCTCAAATAATATGCTGTGTCCAGGTTGGTTCATCAGGTGCTCTGCTATGGCTGACTTCTCTGGTTGAAGTAGTCTGCAGTGCCTTTCATGTTCCTTGTTTCGTGTTTGGGCAATGCTGCGTTTGGTGGTCCCTATGTAGACTTGTCCACAGCTGCATGGTACACGATAGACTCCTGCAGAAGTGAGAGGATCCCTCTTGTCCTTTGCTGAATAGCATTTGTTGGATCCAACAGACCTCACTACCTCTGAGGATGCCTGCCATAGATGCAGGAAAAACGTCAGGAGAGAATGCTTCTAGACCATGGCCATATAGCCCGAAAAAACCTACAACAACCCAGCTCTATCATTGTTTGAGTCCACAGTACTCTCTGAATGTAGGTGAACTACAACTCCTAATTTCAAGGTCAATGCCCACCAAACTTTACCAGTGTTTTTCTATTGGTCGTGGGACTTCTGTGTGTCAAGGTGGTTTAATTCCATTGTTGGTGGAGTTCAGAATGGTCTTTGACTGTAGGTGAACTATAAATCCCCTCAACCCCACCAGTATTCAAATTTGGCCATATTGGGTATTTGTGCCAAATTTGGTCCAGTGAATGAAAATACATTCTGAGTATCAGATATTTACATTACGATTCATAAGAGTAGCAAAATTATAGTTATGAGTAGCAACAGAAATAATTTTATGGTCGTGAGTCACCACAACATGAGGAACTGTATTAAGGGGTCGCAGCATTAGGAAGGTTGATAAACACTGAATTAAACAACCATAGAAAGTTAATTACAATGGGACTACAGAATCCTTACTGTTTAAGGCGCCATTATGGAAAAGTCACGACTATTAGACTATTTAGCGGACTGGTCTATCTAGAAATGCATTTCTGTCATTTGTTAGCTCCTGTCTCCAAATATTGCAGAAATTTCCTCCCATCTTTTGTCAACGCCAACCAAAATGGATAGGCATTTCTTCTATAATGCTACTTTTACACTCAGTGCTTTTCCAAAGGCATACTTACATTTGTTATGCAGAAGAGAGCAAGAAGGAAAGTGCCGAAAGAGACGCAGAAGGTGAAAAGCTTCCTCCGCCGTTTTATGATCTGGAAGTCATCTGCCAAACCAGTGATGACAGCCTCCATGCCACCCATCTGAGAAGGAAGAGAGAAGACCAACCCAAAGCCATTTATCAACAACGGCAATGATGAAAAGCAAAACTCTTCTGGATTTGTTTAAGAATTGGATGGCTGGAATTGGCCAAGTTTCTCCTAGCACATAATTCCCAATGACAAGAAACCTCAACTAGAAGAATCTTTTTTTAAAAAAAATAATAATAAATTTTTATTTGAGAAAAAAATACAGTTATATAGATGTATACTATACATTTCCCTCTCTTTTATTTACATTCACCTTGTTGCATTCTAGAACAGGAATAACCCCTCTGTAAAAAAATGTTGAATAGGAAAACAATCATTTTTTAATTGAAGATAAGTGAAAACAGCCAGGTAAAAATATGCTTTAAGAAAATAGATGAGTCCAGTAAGGTAGGATTTATTTATTTTATTTATTTATCGTGTCAGTAGCAACCAGACAATTGTATTTCATTTTTAACAAATGTTTAACAAACAAACAAAACACAAAGTTTGCAAGCTTGGTAGTTGATTAAATGTCCTTTGACCAGTATCTGGCCACTTGGAGTGCCTCTGGTGTTGCTGCAAGAAGGTCCTCCATTGTGCATGTGGCAGGGCTCAGGTTGCATTGCAGCAGGTGGTCAGTGGTTTGCTCTTCTCCGCACTTGCATGTCGTGGATTCCACTTTGTGGCCCCATTTCTTGAGGTTGGCTCTGCATCTCGTGGTGCAGAGCGCAGTCTGTTCAGCACCTTCCAAGTCGCCCAGTTTTCTGTGTGCCCAGGTGGGAGACTCTCATTTGGTATCAGCCATTGGTTGAGGTTCTGGGTTTGAGCCTGCCACTTTTGGACTCTCGCTTGCTGAGGTATTCCAGCGAGTGTCTCTGTAGATCTTAGAAAACTATTTCTTGATTTAAGTCGTTGATGTGCTGGCTGATACCCAAACAAGGGATGGGCTGGAGATGTCATTGCCTTGGTCCTTTCACTATTGGCTGCTACTTCCCGGCGGATGTCAGGTGGTGCAATACCGGTTAAACAGTGTAATTTCTCCAGTGGTGTAGGGCGCAGACACCCCGTGATAATGCGGCATGTCTCATTAAGAGCCACATCCACTGTTTTAGCGTGGTGAGATGTGTTCCACACTGGGCATGCATACTCAGCAGCAGAGTATTTAATTTAATATGTTCCACACTGGGCATGCATACTCAGCAGCAGAGTAAGGTAGGAAGATAAGCAGGAACAAAATATTCCAAGGTAGGGTTCAGCAAAGTTCAAAACTAAGATCCAGACTTTTTTAATACAATGCAAAGTACCAGCAAAACATTAATCCACAGCATGAGTATATAAGCACAAGAGACAAAGAGTCAAACCATGAACAAGAAATCCTTTACATGAATCTTCCAAGCAAGGATTCCACCGGACAAGAACAAGGACTTTGCAGGATTCTGAAACGATGCTTCATCTGACTATATTTTCCCTGATGGAAACTTTATATCCCTCCGTTAGGCTATTCCCAGCACCCAGAAAATGGTTTCGTTTACTTTGACTGCCTCTCCCCCTTATCTCTCAAAGCCTTGCAGAACGGCGAAGGGCTTGGCTGAGCTGTCTGTTTTGGCTAATTTCCAGCCGTCTGTCTATTTGCTCACTATCTACCTGCTCATTAGTTTCTCCAGGTGCCAAGTTGTTTTCAAACCCCAAATCTTGGGAACTCTCTGGGCCAGGGAGTAAACAACAACAACAACAACAACAACAACAACAACAACAACAACAAAAACAACAACAACAACAACAATGTTTATTTATACCCCGCCTTTATCTCCCCCAAGGGGACTCGGGCGGCTTACATAAGCCCATCAATAAGGTAGGACACAATATAAACACAAAAATACACAACAAAAATCAGAAAATAAAGTTCATAAAATGCAAAACCAATATAAGTAAATGACCGAGCAGCGTAAAATCAAACATTCAACCACAATTAATCACACTGGGCAGGGCCAAATTCAAGGATAAAATTTTAAAACACTGTGGGATAGGACAATGTAAAAAACCAGAAAGTGGATCTGAGGATGAGGTAGGATTTAATTGCACAAACCATAAAATAAAGTGCTTCTGAGGTCATTTTATACAAAGTTTGATCAAGGAGTATCTTACGTTCAATCATTGAAGGCACAATCCTCATCCTTTGCATACTTCCTGGAGATTTTTATGGCCTCATAGATCAGTTAAATTAGCCTCCCGCATAAGCGGTACCTAAATTTCCTACTTGACAGATGCAACTGTCTTTCGGGCTGCAAAGATCGACAAAAAGCTACACAATTTTGGTCAGAAGCTCACTCTGACCCGGGCTGGCTTTGAACTCATGACCTTTCGGTCAGTAGTGATCTTAATGCAGCTGACTCCCTAGAAGGTTAAACATTATAAATAAGAATAATAATGAAAAATGTTGGAGAGGGTGCCAAGAAATTGGAACCTACATGCATATGTGTTGGGATTGCAAATATGTAAAAGATTTTTGGGAATTGGCTATATCGGAAATAGAAAATATGATGGATATAAAAATTAGGTGGAATGTAGTAGAAATATTACTTTTAATTAAAAAAGAGGATGGGAAAGATAAGAGAGAAACCCCAACTAGAGGAATCCTGGACTGAGGAAAGTCTCTATATCACAAGACCTATTGTATGCAAATTTCACAACAAAGGAAGAGATCCAAAAGGGAATAATTCAGAGAGAGAAGAATACTCACAGAACTGTCAATGCCCAGCGTAAGCAACATGATGAAAAACACGATTGCCCAAAACGTTGATCCTTTCAGGGTTGAAATTGCCTCTGGATAAAGGATGAAAACTAATCCAGGTCCTGATGAAGGAAAAGAAAAGGGAAAGGACCTGTCTTCTAATTTCATCAATATAAGGCAGGTTTTCTTAATTCATATCTATTTATGATAACAATTATTTCTCCAGGTTTATTTATTTATTTATTTATTTTATTTACTATATTTATATACCGCCCTTCTCAGCCCGTAGGCCAAAAATTACAATTAAAACATTAATATAAATATCAAACAAGTAAAAACAATCAATAGCAATAAAAACATGTATCATTAGAGTCCCTTTGTTAAAAACATTGTCCAGTAACGTCATCCAGTCGTTCCATTTTCCTATGTCTGTTACATTGCATCAAAAAGCCAAGTCTTGACTTTTTTTTCAGAATGCTAAAAGGGAAGGGGCCAATCTGATATCCCTAGGGAGGGCGTTCCATAGTCGAGGGGCCACCACTGAGAAGGCCCTGTCTCTCGTCCTTGCCAGGCATACTTGTGACGAAGGTGGTATTGAGAGCAGGGCCTCCCCAAATGATCTTAAATTCCTGGAGGTTATATAAGGGGAGATTGGATCCATTCACCATGTTTATTTAGGAGATTACTTTCTAGTGAATGTATTTGTGTGTGTGTGTGTCTTCCACTTGTTGCACTCCAGAACAAGAATAACCCTCTGACTTTAAAACCACATGTTGAATAGGAAAAAGCAATCCTTTTATTGAAGATAAGTAAAAAGCAGCAAAGTAAAAAAGCACTTTAAAGAAATAGGTAAATCCAATTAGGTAAGAAGATAAGCAGGAACAAATTAGTCCAAGGTAGAGTTCAGCAGCATCCAACAAAGCAAAGTCCACACATCTCCAATACAATCCAAAAAAGCAGGAATACATTGATCCAAAGCTTGGGTAAGCAATCATGTAATACAGGAATCCAAAACCATGAACAAGGAATATCTTAGCATGAAACTTCAAAGCAAGGTTTCCATAAAACAAGGACGAGAACTTGGTGTGATTCTAAATGATGCTTCATCTGACTACACACTCCAAACTTAAGACTTTTATCCCCTCGTTAACTAGGTCACTAGCGGTCAGAAATTTGTTTCTCTTTAGTTGAGGCTTTGTTATTGTTTTCTGCCGAAGCCTGGAAGATCACCTAAGCCTTTGCACAGCCCTCCTGTTTTGACTGAACTCTTCTCGTCTATCTCTTGGCTCATTATCTATTTGCTTTCTTGGCTCTTTACCTATTTGCTGTCTTGGCTCGTTATCTATTTGCTCATTAATTTCTGCAGGTGCATCCCCACACCCCTCAGGGACATTCTCATGGGAAACTACAGGGATCTCCTGGTCATTCTCTGCATCAATATCACTGACCAAACCACTGCCATCTTGAAACTCATCTTGAGCCTCATTAACATCATTCCCCACATCCAAAGCACCCTGATCCTGAAACACAATCACATGCTCAACTTCAACACCAGTTGCCTGTCAACTTGTGGTGGGCCCAATGAACTTCATAGGGTTTTGCCAGGCAAAGAATACTCAGAGGTGGTTTCCAGTTCCTTCCTCTGGAATAGAGCCTACAGCACCCTAGGATTCATTGCCAATGTCCCATTTAAGTATTAACCAGGACTAACCCTGCTTAGCTTCCAAGTTTTTTTGTGATCTGGTGCTAGAGGGTTTCCATGGCTCTTAGTTTAACAAAGAGAGGTAGATTTATGTGTGGTTTGAAAAGAGTGTTTCCATTACAGAAGAGAGAAGACGTCTTACCTTCAGTGGCCACATCTTTAATGTCAACTTTGTACTCATGAGCCATATAGCCCAAGATAGAAAAAATGGCAAATCCTGAGATGAAACGCGGTGGACACAGTTGATCCATGAGGGTTCGAGACAGGGGGATACTTTATAGAAAACACAGAAATTAAAATATAAATAATTAATTAATAGAGCCAGCCTTAGTACAACAAATTATAGCGCTTTTTACAATAATACCGCGACATTTAATTGTGTCAGTCTCACAGCAGCCGCATCACAGAAGAATGCAACACAACCCCAAGGACGCCCATTTCCGTAATCAAATCAGGGAAAACTTAACTACTGGAACTTGACATCCACATACGAAAGCCAGGGTATATGGCATGCAGCCCGCAAAGTCAATCCAGATTGTTGATCACCCTCCCGCACACAATGAATTCCCTGATTCCATCGGCCAGGCTCGAGGGAATCACGCGCAACATCCCCACGCAACTGAATCAACTCGCTTTTTCCCTCATAGCTGCTCACCGAGGGCTGCACCATCTTTTTTAATCAGCCCTGCCAAGTAAGGACCGAGGCGAGTTTTTTTCCGCGCTCACTGATTCGAGGCCGGAAAGACAGAGCGATGGTCGCCGGGACATTGAGGAATATCCTTGTGTAAATACTACACAAATTTAGTGTCTTTTAAACACACACACCTCATAAGGCAATTAAACGATCTACCAATAATTATACTCTGGGTTTACCATTATCTAGCCGAAACTAGTGTTGGCCTGATCCAGCAAATTATCACCTAATCATTTCATAGCCATGCTGTCAACACTGTTTATGGTTCAATGTCACAGGCTTAATAGCCAGAACGGCACTGGTTGCACAACATCCATGCTTATGTTTAATCTTTTTTCCTAAAAAGGTGCCAAGGAGGTAAGAGAGATGAACTCTTAATTCTGCCCCAGGGTACGATGTATCGTTCCACACAGAATGCGAGACGGACAACACTGAGAAAGGAACCCTGTCCCCATTAGGCCTGACCACTCAAGACATCGTTGAGACAGTCATGGCGAGAGGAACCAGCGAGTAGGGCACATCCCCAGAAGATCTGTAAGTACCACTCAGGAGGTAGGGGACGTTAGTATGGGACAATACTGTTTTCAGAAAGGATCCCCGTCTTGGGACACCAGTCAGTCTAACATCCAGCAGTGTGACTTCCGCAGAACGCTTTCTCACACCACTTCTCATTTCCACTATCAGCTCCTTCCTTCTACAATGAGGTGTTCTCCTCCTCTTTACGAATCCCGTGTCCTCATCCCATGCCTCCTTTGCCCCCAAAGCCTTCTCCCCAGTTTCCTAACCCAAAAACCCTGTTTTCCTCACCTTACTCACCTCCCAATCCTTTTCCTCTCGCCTTCCTGGCTTCCAAAACCTCTCCCCCACCCCCAACACTCAGGAGGTGCTTTGATTGTGCTTTTCCTTCATGGCAGAAGCAGGTAGGACTGCATGAACCCTAAGTTTACTCCTATTATTATTATTATTATTATTATTATTATTATTATTATTCTGACACAAAAACACAGTATGCCACAGCAAATGAGATCTCTATGCTGGATTTCATATCATAAAATCACAAATCGAACACTTCTCAAGCGTCTAGGACTGTGTGATGTATTTTCGAATGATGTGTGCAGATCCAAGTAAGGTGGCCTTTTGCAGTAGTGATTATTATTATTATTGTTATTATTATTTGAAACACAACAAGATGAGTCCACAGCAGACAAAGTCTGCTGGCTGTTGTATTGGATCACATATCGGACACTTCCCAAGGGTCTAGGACTGTGTGATGTCTTGGCGAATAATGCTTGCAGATCCCAGTAAGATGACCTTCTGCAGCTGACATGTGGTAAGTCTATTGTTTTTAAGTGCAGGCCAAGGTCTTTAGGGACTACACCTAGTGTGCTGATCACCACTGGGATCACCTTTACTGGCTTGTGCCAAAGTCCTTGCAGTTATTATTAATTATTATTATTATTATTACAAAGACTAGATGGTCATCTGTTGGGGGTGCTTTGATTGTGCTTTTCCTGCATGGCAGAAGGGAGTTGGACTGGATGGTCCCTGGGATCTTCCACTGAAATATTCTTTATGTTGGGTGAAACTGCACTGCGACTGTGGAGCAGCTGTCTGGGAGTCAGCTACTGACCGAAAGATCATGAGTTCGAAGCAAGCCCAGGTCTGAGTGAGCTTCCGACCAAAATTGTGTAGCTTATTGTCGACTTTTGCAGCCTGAAAGACAGTTGCATCTGTCAAGTAGGAAATTTAGGTACCACTTATGTGGGGAGTCTAATTCAACTGATTAACGAGGCCATAAAAATCTCCAGGAAGTATGCAAAGAATGAGGAAGTACTTCATCAGTGTCACAAATGGACAGTGAAGTGACAGCTCCCCTAGTGGCCAGAAGCTGGAATGTTAAATAGCCTCTGAGTGTCTGTCTATATATGTTGTGTGTCTATGGCGTTGAATGTTTGCCATTGCAATCCGCCCTGAGTCCCCTGTGGGGTGAGAATGGAGGAATATAAATACTGTAAATAAATAAAATAAATAAATTGTTCTTCATTATAAATATTGTATTGCTCTTTCTTTTCTTTTCCTTTTGCACTACAAAGGACACATGTGAAGTGTGTATAGGAATTTGATCACTTTGTTCCCAATTAGTTCACACAAACACTCTCCATCCATCTGCCACTGGCCTGGCCCATATGTTGAATTTTAAAACACAAAGTGTTAAAAAGTTTGCCCATGCCTGATATATAATATAATATAATATATAAAAGAATATATATAAAAAATCTTGAGGCTCCACAAGAAACTTTTGCTTCAAAAAGGGTTCAGTGGCTGAAAAGGTTTGAGAGTCCCTGCTCTACATCATTGATCTGATAGTAACAAGTGTCTGAGTGGAGGATAGGAAGATGCATAAACCATACTATATTTAGAAAAAAAATACATGTATTGCAAACAAAGTGTTGTTGCATAAAATGCCATTTTTTGTGTGCAAACATGTTCACCAAGAAACAAATACAGTTATTTTCCTTGCAGAAGTGTAATCTATTTCCATTCCAGTTGGCATGGCACCAGAACTCGCGTTAAAGGAGCCAAGATAAATGGATATTTCAAAACCAGGACTAATTATTGTTTACACCAAAGATTGCACAACCTTATGAAAAACAGCAGAAAATGTATTTTGTATCACCTCCAGTTTTAAGCCTGTCTCAAGGACTTTTGTTCCCTCTCCAAAAGATGTTGCATAATGTGGGCTAAAAAGTTTTTTGTTTCGGATGTCTCGTAGTAAATTTATTCAGATTACAGGATAAGAGCAATTATGCAGGAAATGGTCTTCTTTCCCCCCTTTTTTGTCTCCTTTGCTTCCAAGTGATTGGTTGTGATTAACAGTAATCTAATTGCCAAAGGCAGATGGTTGCCATTCGGATAACCATGTGGGATTACAGGTGCCACTTTTACTACAGGCTAATAGCCATTAATTATTGCCAAGCAATACTTACTTCCAGCTCTAAAGCCATTAACAGGAAAACTCCAATCAAAAGTAGTTTAAGTACTAAGTTGCTGAAACCAAGGCATTGGTTCCATTTTGCTAATTCGCTATAGAAAATCTGCATGTTTTGTTGTTGTTATGTGCCTTCAAATCGACTCCAATATATGGCAACCCTATCGGAGAATTTGTAGGGTCTTAAAGTGGGAAAGGACCGCAAGAGACATCTCGTCCAACCCAATGACATGCAGGAATACATTACTAAAGCAATCCTTAAAGAAGGCCATCCAAGTTCTGGTTAAAGACTTTCTAAGTTGGAGAGTCCACTCCCTTCCAGGGCCATCTATTCCACTGTTGAAGAGCTCTTACGGTAAAGAAGTTCTTCTTAATGTTTACMTGKAACATTGGGAAGTTAGGWGGAAGTTCTAGTCTCTGCTGAAGCTAGAGACAAGATTGATTCATCTTCTGAACATAGCATTAAACGAAACATGCAGAATAATCACAGGATGTCTTAAACCTACACCTGTTGATAAACTCTACAAGTTAGCTGGCATTGCCCTCCCCCCAATGTGTGATGGGAAGYTGCTGCTAAATGWGAGAGAAATAAGGTTGAATGCTGTGAAAGCCACCCACTACATGGCTACCAACCTCCTCCCAGTAGACTCCAATCAAGGAAAAGYTTTATGAGAATTACCATTCCACTTGGTGTCCTCCCAGCAACAGCAAAGGTATCCCTCTGGGCAGCTAAACCAGGAAATCCCAACTGGATGGTCCCCCATGAGGGTCTTCCTCCAGGGGCAAACCAAGAATGAGCAACTTGGAAGTCCCTGAACAGACTCAGAAGTGGAGTGGGAAGATCAAAAGACAACCTGGCAAAATGGCACTACCTAAAAGAATCCCACACCTTGTGTGACTGTGGAGCAGAACAGATAACTCCGCATCTGTATGCTTGTACACTGTGCCCTGCCTCATGTACACAGGAGGCTACAGACAATGCCATTGCTGTTGCCTGTTTTTGGTCAAAACATATTTAGCCACCTGCGCGCCTTCTATTTTTATTAGTTTTATACTAATTTGTGCAATGCTTTTGATATGAAAGAAGAAGAGGAAGAGGAAGAAGAACCAATGCAATTAAGGCCAGGATTGAAAAATCAGCTGATGACCTCAAATGCAGATTGTACAAGGAAGCGGATGAAACCATGGACAATCTCCTCAGCTATTGCAAGAAAATTGCACAGACGGATTACAAACAGAGGCACAACTCTGTGGCCCAAATGATTCACTGGAACCTATGTCACAAGGACCACCTGCCAGCAGTAAAGAATTGGTGGGATCATAAACTTGCAAAGGTAGTGGAAAATGAACACACAAAATACTGTGGGACTTTCGAATCCAGACTGACAAAGTTTTGGAACTTTGGAAAGAAAAAAGTTTGAGTTATTGATGTCGCCATACCAGGTGACAGCCGCATTGAGGAAAAACAACAGGAAAAACTCAGCCGTTATCAAAACCTCAAAATCGAACTGCAAAGGCTCTGGCATAAACCAGTAGAGGTGGTCCCAGTGGTCATGGCACAATGGGAGCCATGCCAAAAGACTTTAGCCGGCATTTGGAAACAATAAACATTGACAAAATCATGATCTGTCAACTGCAAAAGGCCACCTGACTTGGATGTGCACGCATCATTTGAAAATACATCACACAGTCCTAGACACTTGGGAAGTGTCCGATTTGTGATTTTGTGAAACGAAATCCAGCATAGAGATCTCGTTTGCTGTGACATACTGTGTATTTGTGTCAGTAAAATAATAATAATAATAATAATAATAATAATAATAATAATAGTAATGATAATAATAATATGACATCCCTTCAGATATTTAAAATGGCTATCATGTCACCTCCTCCTTCTCTTCTTTAGGCTGCATAACTCAAAGAACTCCAAGTTGTGTTCCATGATGTAGAAGCTCAACCATTTTTGAAGGCTGCATAAAAACTCGAATGTTTCTATGTAGGAAGACACTAGATTAATCCACTTATAGCTTAGCTCGAATTATCCATTCTAAACTACCTTTTATTATCACAAACATGAAGAATAGGACAATCCCTGGAGGATCATCTATAGACAATATGGCCATATGAGATTCATCTAGTGGCAACTGAGCAGAGCACTGCTTTGGACGTTGTGTTTCCATGCTAGAGTACTCTCCCCTAAGAGACTCACCTGGTGCCCAGTTTAATTACTTTTTGATATCAAGCAAAGATCTTGATATTTACCCAGGTTGTCTAATCTTTTTACTTCTTAACTCCAATAATGGAGCGCTGTGCCGTCCTTATTATTTTCAGCTCTTCTGCTGGCTTAGTGCTATTTCAAATTTTTTACTTGGTTTAATGCATTTTTCCATTTTGTTGAATTGCAGGATGCTTTGGAAATTGTAATATTAAATAGCTCTTAGTATAATAGAAGACACAAAAACAAAAAAGAAGGAATACTTTCTTTCTGGAATAATATTATCACATTCGTCTTCATTCTATACTTAGGAAGGGAAACATTATTAAAAGAATCATAGAATCATAGAATCACAGAATCAAAGCGTTGGAAGAGACCTCATGGGCCACCCAGTCCAACCCCATTCTGCCAAGAAGCAGGAATATTGCATTCAAAGCACCCCTGACAGATGGCCATCCAGCCTCTGTTTAAAAGCTTCCAAAGAAGGAGCCTCCACCACACTCGGGGCAGAGAGTTCCACTGCTGAACAGCTCTCACAGTCAGGAAGTTCTTCCTCATGTTCAGATGGAATCTCCTCTCTTGTAGTTTGAAGCCATTGTTCCGCGTCCTAGTCTCCAAGGAAGCAGAAAACAAGCTTGCTCCCTCCTCCCTGTGGCTTCCGCTCACATATTTATACATGGCTATCATATCTCCTCTCAGCCTTCTCTTCTTCAGGCTAAACATGCCCAGCTCCTTAAGCCGCTCCTCATAGGGCTTGTTCTCCAGACCCTTGATCATTTTAGTCGCCCTCCTCTGGACACATTCCAGCTTGTCAATATCTCTCTTCAATTGTGGTGCCCAGCATTGGACACAATATTCCAGGTGTGGTCTAACCAGAGCAGAATAGAGGGGTAGCATTACTTCCCTAGATCTAGACACTATGCTCCTATTAATGCAGGCCAAAATCCCATTGGATTTTTTTGCCGCCACATCACATTATTGGCTCATGTTTAACTTGCTGTCCACAAGGACTCCAAGATCTTTTTCACACATTTAGATAAGAAATAACTGAACACAAGTGTATGATCATGTTAACTTCGTTTGTCTTACCTGTAACAATTGTTGTTAAATTCATTGTAGCTGGCAAAAGCAATTAAGACCCCAAACCCAGCTCCTAAAGAGTAAAATATCTGAGTGGCTGCATCAATCCAAACCTAAATAAAGAAAACACAGCACAAGTTATTTGTATGCTTGAAAAAATTCTCAAAGGAAAACAATACAAATGGGGAAAAATAAATGAATATGACTTTTTATATGTATGGAAATTAAAACCCAGAATGATCTATAGCAGCGTTTCTCAACCTTCCTAATGCCACGACCCCTTAATACAGTTCCTCATGTTGTGGTGACCCCCAACCACAACATTATTTTAGTTGCTACTTCATAACAGTAATTTTGCTACTCTTATGAATCGTCATGTAAATATCTGATATGCAAGACGTGTTTTCATTCACTGGACCAAATTTGGCACAAATACCCGATACACCCAAATTTGAATACTGGTGGGATTGGGGGGATTGATTTTATCATTTCGGAGTTGTAGTTGCTGGGATTTATAGTTCATGTACAATCAAAGAGCATTCTGAATTCCACCAATGATGGAATTGAACCAAACTTGGCACACAGAACTCCCATAAATAAAATAAAATACTGGAAGGGTTTGGTGGGCATTGACCTTGAGTTTTGGAGTTGTAGTTCATCTACATCCTGGGAGCAATGTGGACTCAAACAATGATGGGCTTGGACCAAACTAGGCATGAATACTCAATATGCCCAAATGTGAACACTGGGGGACTTTGGGGGGAAAATAGACCTTGACATTTGGGAGTTGTAGTTGCTGGGATTTATAGTTCACCAACAATCATAGAGCATTCTGAACCCAGCCCACAATGGAGCTGCATGAAACTTGGCACACAGAACTCCCATGATCAACAGAAAATACTGGAATGGTTTGGTGGGCATTGACCTTGAGTTTTGGAGTTGTAGTTCACCTATATCCTGGGAGTAATGTGAACTCAAACAATGATGGACCTGGACCAAACTTGGCATGAATACTCAATATGCCCAAATGTGAACACTAGGAGAGTTTGGGGGAAAATAGACTTGACATTTGGGAGTTGTAGTTGCTGGGATTTATAGTTCACCAACAATCATAGAGAATTCTGAACCCAGCCCACAATGGATCTGCACCAAACTTGGTACACAGAGCTCCCAGAAAATACTGGGATTTATACGCCCGACAGAAAATACTAGAAGGGTTTGGTGGGCACTTACTTTGCCTTTTGGAGTTGTAGTTCACTTACATCTAGAGAGTATTGTGGACTCAAACAATGATGGATCTGGACCAAACGTGGCATAAATACTCAATATGCCCAAATGTGAACACTGGTGGAGTTTGGGGAAAATAGACCTTTACATTTGGGAGGTGTAGTTGCTGGGATTTGTAGTTTTCTGAACCCCACCAATAATAGAATTGGGCCAAACTTGCCACACAGAATTGCCATGACCAACAGAAAATACTGTGCTTTCTGATGGTTTTTGGCGACCCCTCTGACACCCCCTCACGACCCCCCCCCAGGGGTCCCGACCTCCAGGTTGAGAAAAACCGATCTATAGGCATGACTCCTGCAGTGCTTTATATGTATGACAGTCCTTGAAAACTGGAAACTTTGGTTACTCCAGAAAAGACCTATCTGACTGTTAAGTGCGATCAACAATGAAGATAATTGTTCATCAATTCTCAAGGTATGCCATTACCTTTTAGTCCTTTTTGTGGTATGATTTATGTTCTCGGTGCTTGCCTTAATGTTTGAAACATGTTCAGAACTGGCAATCTGAAGGACTGGCCTCTCAATGCCTAAATATTATCCTGGCCATTCTCTGAGACTTCCCAAAGATTATTCAAGACTTTGCAGAAACAGATAATGGTGAATAAACAAAGGACTTTCTGAAAGGTTAAATTCAAAGTTCTTCCAGATCTCTCCATTTGTCCAGACCATCAAACACCCAGAGAACTAGAATTTGGGAATCCAAATAATACACTTGTTGTTGTTCATTTGTTCAGTTGTTTCCGACTCTTCGTGACTTCATGGACCAGCCCACGCCAGAGCTCCCTGTCAGCCGTTACCACCCCCAGCTCCTTCAAGGTCAATCCAGTCACTTCAAGGATCCCGTCCATCCATCTTGCCCTTGGACGACCCCTCTTCCTTTTTCCTTCCATTTTCCCCAGCATAATTGTCTTCTCCAAGCTTTCCTTTCTTCTCATGATGTGACCAGAGCTCTCTGTTGGCCGTCACCACCCCAAACTCCTTCAAGGTCAATCCAGTCACTTCAAGGATCCCGTCCATCCATCTTGCCCTTGGTCGACCCCTCTTCCTTTTTCCTTCCATTTCCCCCAGCATAATTGTCTTCTCCAAGCTTTCCTTTCTTCTCATGATGTGGCCAAAGTACTTCATCTTTACTATCTAAATACTAACTAATACTATCTATCTAAATTCTACCTACTATCTATCTAAACCACTTTGAGTCATCAATTGGCTGAGAAAGGCGGGATACAAATACAGTAAATAAATAAATAAATAAACTAGCTAGTTCAAATGTGCTGGGTTTTTTTGTATTGAAAGAGACTAATCTAGCTCTCTGTCTGGAAATCTGTGAAGCAATTCTGTGAAGGATTGAATACATCCAAACCACAGACCTTGAAATGTTGACTTTTCAGCGCTGCTCTGTATTGACTTCAATAACACTATAATTGGAGAGTGTTGCTTTCTCCAACTATTTCTAGTTTGCTAAATATTTTCCAGGAGGTGCCAGACTGTCTCTCTCTCTGAGCTTTAGTGACGCGCTGCTGCAAATGTTACTACGACATTTTGCTAGTGCCGAATCCTTGCTGACACATCATGAAGGGCAGATTTATTGTAAAGGGAAGAGAAAACACCCGGGGAATCCACAGAGACTGAAACATTCTCAGGAAGCTCCTAATGGAGAACAATGGAGACGAGACACACACTCTTCCTGACATCCCCGATTTCATTGAGTCATTCTCGCTACTGCTTTGGTGAAACAGACGTATAGCTTCAAATGCTACAGACATCTATAGACAACCATTCATTCATGACTGCAGTCAATGAGGTTATAGTTTCCTGCTGTGGAGACAAGGATCCATTGCCCATTGTTCAGTTCGATCAACATCCAAAAGATATATGCCAACTCCAGAGATTAGAAACGATGACCATCTTGAAGGGCCCATATTGTCATAGGACCCACCATCCCATGAGCATCAATGTAAGAGCATATAACACAAAATTCTTGGAATTACATCTACTTATTTATTTATTTATTTATTTATCTATCTATTTACAGTATCTATATAAATAAAAATGTAATGTTCGTTTGTGGGATTAACAGAACTCAAAAACCACTGGACGAAGTGACACCAAATTTGGACACAAGACACCTAACAACCCAATGTATGTCCTTCACTAAAAAAAATGATTTTGTCATTTGGGAGTTGTAGTTGCTGGGATTTATAGTTCACCTACAATCAAAGAACATTCTGAATCCCACCAACGATGGAATTGAACCAAACTTGGCACACAGTTCTCCCATGACCAACAGAAAACACTGGAGGTGTTTGGTGGGCAGTGTCCTTTGGTTTTGGAGTTGTAGTTCACCTACATCCAGAGATCACTGTGGACTCAAACAATGATGGATCTGGACCAAAGAATACTCAATATGCCCAAATGTGAACACTGGTGGAGTTTGGGGGAAATAGAATTGTAGTTGCTGGGATTTATAGTTCACCTACAGTCAAAGAGCATTTTGAACCCCGCCAATGACAGAATTGGGCCAAACCTCCCACACAGAACCCCCATGTGGGCCACAGCAACACGTGGCAGGGGACGGCTAGTAAGTAAATAAATAAACCGACTCAAAGCAGCTTACACATAAATAATGGCAATATTCAATGCCTTACGTTGGGCACCGATACAATGCCAATACAAACAATTCCAATAGTAAAACCACAATTAAGCATAAACCACAATTAAATCAATACATCAACATGCATTAAAACAAGAAAACAGTCTTGTCAGTCAAATCGCCGTACTAGTCAATGTCCCTCTACTGTCCGAAGGCCTGGTCCCAGAACCATGGTTTTAATTTTTTTCTAAAAGCCAGGAGGGAGGGAGCGGATCTTACCTCATTTGGGAGTGTGTTTCATAGGCAGAGGGCCACAGCTGAGAAGGCCCTGTCTCTCATCCCCACCAGACATATTTGTACTGTTGAGGGGAGTGAGAGCAGGGCCTCCCCGTATGATCTTAGATTATGAGGTGGGACGTAGAGGTGGATGCATTTGGACAAATAAGCTGGGCCAGAACTGTATAGAGCTTTATAGGTCAAAACCATCACTTTGAATTGGGCTCGGAAATGGACCGGCAGCCAGTGGAGCTGGCATAGCAGGGGGATGGTATGCTCCCTGTATGTCGCTCTGGTTAGTAATCTGGCTGCTGCCCAGTGAACTCGCTGAATTTTCCGAACCGTCTTCAAAGGCAGACCCATGTAGAGCGCGTTGCAGTTATCTACTGGGGATGTAACCAGAGCGTGGACCACCGTGGCCAGATCAGACTTCCCACGGTATGGGCGCAGCTAGTGCACTGGTTTTAATTTAATTTAATTTTAATATATTGGGTAGAGCAAAAAAAAAAAAAAAAAGAGAGAGAGATGGGACTCCATTCTTGGTAATGTTCGAATAATTTTAGGATACTACACTAACTTACATGCTTAGAAATGATGGAGGACTAAGAGTGGAAGCAAAATCAACCTGACAACAATAGACAAGGAGGGGATATATTAGACCAGTATTTCTCAACCTTCCTAATGCAATGACCCCTTAATACAGTTCCTCATGTTGTGGTGACCCCCAAAGATAAAATTGTTAGAGACCCTAAATTGGGTCTTCTTAGGTCCACACCATGGGAGCACGTAAGGAAGGAGACAGTCCCAAAAAAAGATAAAAAACAAGGTTTATTTTAGTTTCTTCATGAAGAAGACGGACAGCCTGGCAGCATACGCAGACGCTACCCTTCAAGTGACTGCCGCCCCCTCCCCCCTGGCTTTTGTACACCGTTATATACCCTCAAGTAAACAAGAACATTTTTTTGGTCATGGAAAGTACTCTCTTTCCAGCCCCCCCCCTTGACCTTTTGATGGAAAGTACCTTCTTGTACCTGCAGACTCTGCGCTTAACCACAACCTTTGGCTTAACCACAACACAACTATGTGAGTTTGAACTTTGTATGACCTCTACATGTCACATCTTGTCTCAAAAACATTTTCTTCCGTGTTGCTCCTATTCTACAGAGAAAGGGTATATTTCTCTTTTGCTGTTAATTTCATTCAAAGCCCCTTGCTTAGCATTTGGAAATTTCACTCAAAGACCCCTTCAAAATCATTTTTGTTGCTACTTCATAACTGTAATTTTGCTACTGTTAGCAATTGTAATGCAAGGATCTGACGTATTCACTGGACCAAATTTGGCACAAATATCCAATACACTGGTGGAGTTGGGGGGGGGGGTTGATTTTGTCATTTGGGAGTTGTAGTTCCTGGGATTTATAGTTCACCTACAATCAAGGAGCATTCCAAACTCCAGCAATGATGGAACTGAACCAAACCTAGCACTCAGAACTTCAATGACCAACAAAAAAAAGTGGAAGGATTTGGTGGGCATTGACCTTGAGTTTGGGGGTTGTAATTCACCTACACCTGGAGAACACTGTGAACTCAAACATTGATGGATCAGGACCAAACTTGGCACAAATGCTTAATATGCCCAAAAGTGAACAGTGGTAAACACATAGTCATCCATCTATAAACCAAAAGGACTATGAAAACCGGGGACTTACCGTGGCTTCTTTTAGTCTTCTCAAATCTATGTTGAGGTATGCTCTGATTCCGTCATATGCACCAGGCAAAGTCAGCCCACGGACTAAGAGCACAGATATTACAAGATAAGGCAATGTGGCCGTAATCCATACAACCTGCAAAATGAGACCAACACAAAGATATTTGATCTATATTTTGGTGGCAAAGAGTTTATTGCTAGAATGGATTTAAATTTGGTAGGCAATCCCAATGAGAATAGAGGAAGCCATCAATAGGCTTAAGCTACCAAATAGTAATCTTTGTTTTGCTTTAATTGTTTACTATAAGCAGAAAATGGGATATTCCATTTAAAGCAAGCATTTTGATGAAATTATGTCTATGTTGGTGGAAGCTAGGGGTTGCGGTCTACGGAGAGTGTTGTGTAGGAATTGGCTGAATTGTGTTACATCTACTGAAGTTGTCCTCCATTGATCTGTAGTTTGAAGGTAGTTTATAAACTATAGTTTGGCCTTAGAGTGGTTAAAATGAGAAACCATGATTTGCCCAGTCTTTATTAACATAGCACAAGAGATAATAGTTTTCCAACAACACAATAATTTTATTGATTAGCCCTTAGGCCATATCACAATACCAAACCAAACAACAAGACTTGATAAGACTTGATTGTACTCTATGTAGCAAGTTAAAATAAGACACTTTTAACAATACAGTAAATAAATAGGATAAAATTGAGTATATGCATCATATTTCCCAACAAATCATAATTTGTTTTCTTAGTGTCTTGGTTTTTAAGCCTGTTCCTGGGATTATTTGCAATTTTCAGTAAATTGCATTGGGTAGACCACATCTTCTCTAGTTTCTTTGATAAGGTTGTAATGATTTTCTATGGGTGAGGGAATGGTAGATGGCATATGTTCTGAAATTCAAAAGCTAGAGCTGATAGAGGAAAACTGGTGCCATTTTTGGAAAAAAGAGGTCAAATACAGTGTTCCCTCGCTGTTTTGCGGTTAGGTTTGAAAATTAATATTTTTAATATATATATATTTAATTTTCTAACTGAAATTTTATCATGTGAAATAAAGAAAATGAAATATGTTTAATATATTTTAATACATTTGTGGTTTTAAAAGCACAAAATGTTTAAAAATATATTTAAAATATATATAGTGCACCTACTTTGCAGATTTTTGCTTTTCGTGGAGGGTCCTGGAACGGAACCTCCATGATAAGTGATGGAACACTGTATACCCAGAAATAGTTCTTAAATTTAAGGCACCAAAATGTGTGTTGGCTAGCATAAGCAATGGCATACCTTTCCTGAAGTCTTCACACCTTTCCACAGGCTAAAGAAAAGGACGATCACAACCACAAGGAGACATAGTGTGAGCTCCCACCGTGGCATGCCAACGTCTTGGATCCCACGGCTTTTGTTGAGTTGCAAAACTTGCCGCCTAACCAAAAGGGAAAAAAACCCAAACAACAGCAATAATGTGAGATAATTTTGCACTGAAGATCACTTTATCAATTTTACCCTATTCCTGCTAAAATAACACAACCCAATCTTGGCAAAGAATGAGACGTATATCTATATCTAGACGTATATTTAGGCTGAGAAACGGCGGTATATAAGCACAGTAATAAATAATAAATAAATAAATAAATCTAGAAGAGGCCTTGAAAAGTCATGGAGAACTATGAAAAAGGAGGAGCACACCATCACAAAGTAGAAAATTTCCAAAGAGGAAGTAGACAATATCTCTGAAGAGGAATCAACTACTTGGAGGTACATCCTTTTCAGGTCCCAAAACGTGCTTTTCCACGTTTCTCAAGATGACCGTCGCCTGGATCACCATAGCCAGGTCGTTCCTAGAAAAGTAGGCAGTCGCCTAGCCTGACTTAGATGGAAAAACACAGATCGGCTCACAGCAGAGACCTAGACCTCCACTGTGAGCAGAGGGTCCAATAAGACACCAAGACTTTTTACAGAAGGTGACGGATGTAGTGTCTCGCCATCCAGGGGGGTCCTGGAACAGAACCCCCATGATAAGTGAGGGAACACTGTATACCCAGAAATAGTTCTGAAATTTGAGGCACCAAAATGTGTGTTGGCTAGCATAAGCAATGGCATACCTTTCCTGAAGTCTTCACACCTTTCCACAGGCTAAAGAAAGTATTGTGTTACTCCAGGAGTGGGGAAAAGAAAGCAGAGGAAATTCCTTCATTCTCTGGTTTAAAACTGGCTTCTCTGGCTTGAGCCAGAAGTGGGGAAAGCAAAGGTAGGAAATTCAGCCTTCCCCGGCTTCTCTGGCTTGGGCCGAGGCCAGGGACCAGAATCATTTCCTACTCACTTCCTGAGTTGGAAGGAAAATGACAAGACTAGCTACAAAAGGGCAAAGGGACTTCTGGTTTCCTAAAAAAGTTCAAAATTGCTTCAAAATGGTAATTTTTCCGAATTTATTCCAAATTATGAAGATTCCGACTGGACCTAACCATGCCTAGTAAACAAAAAACCAAAAAACCAAACTCAAACACAGGGAAACTCCAGCCAGGAAACAATCAGGAACACCTGGTCACATCTCAACAAGGAAATTTCCCAGGCAGTAACAAGCCACACCTAAAAACTGTGAGGCCATCAAATGCTAATCAAGGTGGCCAATTGACATTCTTGTCCAGTCAGTTTCTCTTATTGGGGTTCCTTTATTTTTTGATATTAAATATGTTAATCTGTCCATGTTTCTAATATCTACAATTTTCTCTATCCAATCCTTAATCTCTGGGGTCTCTTCCTTCTTCCATAATTTTGCATAGCAAATTCTTGCAGCCGTATTCAATAAAAAAAGGAGTTTATCCATATTTTTTTCTAGCTTTTGGTCTATTGTCCCTAGTAACTACTTGAAACAAAAGAATGGAAACACAATAATATAAAAAGAAGAGAAAATAGGAGGAATGAGAAGTGTAGATGGAAGAAAGAAGAGGAAAACCCCACTTGGAAGATACACAGGAAGTCAATGAAGGAGATGTGCACCAACTCTTTCCTGGCTCTGTTTTTTGACTACTTTCCTTTTTCCCCTTTTTTTCCCTCTTTTCTTTCTTTTCTTTTTTCTTTTCTCTTACTTTCTCTTCTTTTCTCCTATCTATTCTATATTATTTCTATTTCATTTAACTGTATTTTAAAAGAAGAAAAAATCTCAATAAAGATTATTAAAAAAGGTGGCCAATTGAAACATTCACACCTACAGCCAACAGAAAAGAGTCCTTTCTTCCACTTTGGACATTATTCCACAGATATATAAAACCAATTTCCCTAGTTTCCAACAGACGTCACAACCTCTGAGGATGCTTGCCACAGATGCAGGCGAAACGTCAGGAGAGAATGCTTCTAGAACATGGCCATACAACCCAATTCAAATTTAGTTACTTTTCTTAAGAAATCAAGATCAAAGTTTTCATGCCATGAAGTGGCTGTTGCTGACTTCTATGTAAGGAAAGAAGGCCTGTTCCAGGTTTTGTGCTATACATTTAAGAAGCTAATCTAAGTACATACATGTATTTTGGGAAGAGAACTCAATAGCTCTCCCTTAGAGTCTAGATTAAAACCCAAAATGGGTTTATTGACCCATTGATATGGAAGATATTTAATGGTCTCATGGGATTCCAAGTTAATATATATCATCATAAACTTTCGCTGGCCATCATTCTAAGACAGTTGGAAAAGCTGCTGAAAAAGATGTGTATAGGAGGATGTTGAGATCAAGAGATCTTTGCAAGTACTGTGATCCGATTGTTGTTTAGGTGACACAAACACTGTAAGAACGGCAGACCCTTAGATCCCCCTTCATTGTACGTTCAATGTCTCCTTTGGGAGCAGTATTGAAAGTATGGTCTCTATGGCGCTGTTAAAAGGATATGAAGCCTAAACAGGAAAGGGAATCTAAAAGAACACGACGTGCCTCTATGGGAGGTGCCTGCTTTGTTTATCAGGTCTCGTCTTTAAGATGAAGCCAGAAAAAACAAACTATTAAAAACTCTATTTCTAAATGCAAGGCAGAGAACCAATAGCTTCCACCATCTGCACAGAAATGGAAAAGACTGTGATGGAAATGAACCCTAAGAAAGACTTGGGGAATGTAGAATGGATGCTGTTTGACACTATTTATTTATTTACTGTATTTGTATACCTCCCTTCTCAGCCTTTAGGTGACTCTACTGTAACTCCCTTGGATTAATGCTGTGAAATCATGGAAAATATAGCTTGGGGAGGCACCTGCACTATTTGACAGAGAAAGCTAAAGGCATTGAGAAACCACAGCTCCCGCAGCTCCCATAGCATTTATTTATTATTTATTTGGGGTTCTTTTACCCCGCCCTTCTCACCCCGAAGGGGACTCAGGGCGGCTTACAAAAGCAAGGCACAATTTGATGCCTGCATCATAAAAACAATCAAACACAAAATTACATCAATACACAGTTAACACCAAATATACATTATAACCATAAAATCAATAAAATCAATAAAACCAAATACAAACCCAGTTTCTCCTCTTACATGGTCAGCGTTCGCTACTCATAGATCTAGTTTTACGTTCCACTTCATCAATCCTGCTGGTCTTACTTGCCTGGTTGTCTGATTTAATTGCCGGAGTGGCGCCCAAAGGCCTGGTCCCATAACCAAGTCTTCACCCTTCTCCTAAAGGCGAGGAGGGATGATTATGCCCTGATTTCCCCCGGGAGTGAGTTCCACAGGTGAGGGGCCACCACTGAGAAAGCCCTGCTCCTCGTCCCCACCAGCCTCACTTGTGACAGTGGTGGGGTCGATAGCAGGGCCTCCCCAGATGATCTCAGACTCCGAGGTGGGACGTAGAGGGAGATATGTTCGGACAGATACACTGGACCGGAACCATACAGGGTTTTGTAGGTCAAAACCAGCACCTTGAATTGAGCCACAGCAGTTAAAGCAGTGTGAAATAGGCTGTGCATTTGGGCTGAACCTCGATCCATTTCTGCTAGCTGGATACTGGTAGACCCCCATATCGTTTTTACGTGCCTACCGAAAACAGGTGTGTAGCTAGACAGCCGTTTTTGTACCACAGCCGAAAAATGCGGCTAGATTCGGCCCATTGGTGGCAATGGTGGGAGGGGGCTCCATGGGTTCCTCTTCCCATCATTTTAGGCAATTGCATCAATTGTCCTTATATCCTTCATTAAGACCTGGATTAAAAGCATCTTTCTGTGATCTTTTCTCCTTTTTTGGAAGAGAAGAACTGGATTTAACGTAAGTGCTTAAGATACCACTTTTTCCGAGATCGGGTTGTTGTAGGTTTTTCGGGCTATATGGCCATGTTCTAGAACAAGGGTCCTCAAACTAAGGCCCAGGAGCCGGATACGGCCCTCCAAAGTCATTTACCCAGCCTGCACTCAGGGTCAACCTGTCTGAAACTACTTGAAAACACACAACAACAACAACAACAACAACAACAATCCTATCTCATCAGCAGGCCCACACTTCTCATTGAAATACAAATAAGTTTGTATTTGTTAAAGCTGTTCTTCATTTTAATTATTGTATTGTTTTTAAGTGTTTTTTTTTTTGCACTACAAATAATATTTTTTGCACTACAAATAAGAATTTCTTTGCAGTTTGCATAGGAATTCATTCATGTTCCCCCCCCCCCCAAATTATAATCCGGCCCACTGTTTAAAAAGTTTGGGGACCCCTGTTTTAGAACATGGCCATATAACCCAAAAAACCTACAACAACCCAGTGATTCTGGCCATGAAAGCCTTCGACAATACATTTTCTGCAATTCTTTCCCTTTGGTCTGTAGAGGAGACCTGGGTTTAAAGAAAGGGCTTAAGATACCACCTTTTCTACTATCCTTTCCCTTTGGTATATAGAGGAGACTGGGTTTAAAGCTTTATTAAATCTGTTTTTACTCTGGAGGAGACAGGCGCACACTCTCCCTGCAGCACATAACCAAGAAATTTTAAGGAGGCTTCCCACTTCCCAAGGAAGGAAGAGAGATGACCTGGAGCTATCCTATCCAGGGCTTGCTTTAAAAAGTCTTCTCTTTGCCCTGCCAGGAATGGTGCCTCGCCCTCCCCCCCCCCCCCCCCCAACGCTTTTCCTTATAGTGCAGTGGTTCTCAACCTGTGGCGTTTTGGCCTACAACTTCCAGAAATGTATTTATTTTATTTACAGTATTTATATTCCACCCTTCTCACCCCGGAGGGGACTCAGGGCGGATTACAATGTACATATAAATGGCAAACATTCAATGCCATAGACACACCACATATATAGACAGACACAGAGGCAATTTAACATTCCAGCTTTTCTTGAGGGTATTTTGGCCACCAGGGGAGCTGTCCCTTCACCAACCATTTGTGAAACTGATGAAGTACTTCCTCATTCTTTGCATGCTTGCTTGAGGTTTTTATGGCCTCGTAAATTAGTTAAATTTGCCTTCCTGCATAAGCGGTACCTAAATTTCCTACTTGACAGATGCAACTGTCTTTCAGGCTGCAAAGGTTGACAGCAAGCTACACAAATTGGTTGGACACTCACTCCGAACCGGGTTGGCTTCGAACTCATGACCTTTCGGTCAGTAGTGACCTTAATGCAGCTGACTCCCAGCCAGCTGTGCCACGGTCCCAGTTCACCAGCTGTTAGGATTCCTGGGAGTTGAAGGCCAAAACCTCTGAGGACCCACAGGTTGAGAACCACTGGTCTAGTGGCTGCCTCCTTCTTGCACTCCACTTGTAACCAGCTAGTAATTGACAGCTACTGTTCTGTTGGGGTCGAAAAAACATGTCAGCTGTCCCCTTGCCATTATGGCCAGCCTGTCAAACCGAACAAGCTCGATTGACCAAAGGGAATTGAACAATCTGAATCCGTGCACAAGCCTAGTGTGAAATTGCACCCATTCTGCAGTGTGGATGCAACTTACAACTCCCAGATCTGTATGGGATACATTCTTGAACTTACTTTGGAAAGAGGAAACCATGGATAATAGTTAAGCCTATTGAAATGAGTTTCTTGCCTTCAAGAATGATGTCTAGGAAGATTCCCATTCCTACTCAGGGTTCTTGTATTCACTGCTGAGAAGTGGGGAAAGGTATTCAACCTGACTACTTGAAAAAAAACCCACCACTTCTATACTCAAATTAATAGAAGGAATGTCTGGGTCAAGTCCAAAAGGAGTAGATTCCATAGGGATCCACAGACATTTTGCACACGCATACACTTACTCATAAAATTCAGCTGCAGGCGTAATCTTGTACTTGGCATAAGAGGTCCCAGGGATGAAGGCGGAGGCGTTTTTCGGATCTGTGCAGTTGGGACTGTTCCAGGGATTGCCGCATTTCGTCCAAGGAAGCTCCCCCAATGTAAATGATGAAAACAGATAATACAGAGACCAGGCAATGATAACATTGTAGTAGAAGCCTACGTAGAGAGCGATGAGTATCACGGCATAGCCCACACCTGGAGGCAAAGGGAAAGCGTGACGTTTACATTCCATTCAGATCATTTTCACAGCAGTGACTCATGCTTATGCCTCACCTTTATGGGACGAGAGAGAAAATACTGCTCAATGTCCTACATGGCATGTGCAAAGCAAGACTTTTTACAAGTATTTTAAGTAGAAAGCCTGGGATTTACCTTTGAAAAGTGGGCAGATTTTCCATACGGTTGCAGCTCCTTCCCGATTATACTGACCCAATGCTAGTTCCATATAGAATAAAGGCATCCCGGCAATGATGAGGAAGAGGATGTAAGGAATGAGGAAAGCACCTGGAAACAGAACCATGAGACACTAAAATGAACTGCATGCAAGTTTTGTTTCCTTTTTTTAAAAAAAATCTTAATCAATTGTCATTTTGTAATTGGTTCTATCATAAAATCATGGAAAAATGTATTTATTTATTTATGACATTTATATGCCACCCTTCTCACCCCAACGGGTACTCAGAGAGGCTTACAAGATATACATACATACAATATATTATATTATATTATATTATAATTATTATATTATATTATAATTATTATTATTATATTATTATATATTATATTATATTATATTATATTATTATATTATATTATTAGCATAGTACAATATCAGTATTAAATATTACTATAATGTACTATACCATTATATGGTAATATTAACTATATAAATAAAAATGTAATGTTTGTTTGTGGGATTAACAGAACTCAAAAACCACTGGACAAATTGACACCAAATTTGGACACAATACGCCTAACAACCCAATGTATGTCCTTCACTCAAAAAAATTGATTTTGTCATTTGGGATTTGTAGTTGCTGGGATTTATAGTTCACCTACAATCAAAGAGCATTCTGAATTCCACCAATGATGGAATTGAACCAAACATGGCATACAGGACTTCCATGACCAACAGGAAACACTGGAAGGGTTTGACCTTGAGTTTGGGAGTTGTAGTTCACCTACATCCAGAGAGCACTGTGGACTCAAACAATGATGGATCTGGACCAAACTTGACACAAATATTCCATATGCCTAAATATGAACACAGATGGAGTTTGGGGGAAATAGACCTTGACATTTGGGATTTGTAGTTACTGGGATTTATAGTTCACCTACAATCAAAGAACATTCTGAATCCCACAAACGACAGAACTGGGGCGGACTTCTGACACAGAACCCCCATGACCAATGGAAAATACTTAAGGCCACCCAGTCCAACTCTCTTCACCAGGGCAAGAAAATGTAATCAGAGCCCTCCTGACAAAGAGCCATCTAGCCATAGATATAGATAGATAGATATGATTCTCTCTCACACACACAGATATAGCACCATAGATTTGAAAGAGACCCTTAAAGAAGGACTATGATATGTTGCAATATTCCAGAGTTGACAAACCGGACACTCTCCACATCAACACTGACAAAGAAACAACATGAAATACTGTTTACTCACAAGTATAAAGGAATTACATATATTAGAAACCACACTTTCTCATTACTTTATATTCCAGATCACCAGACTGGGCCACAGCAACGCGTGGCAGGGGGGCAGCTAGTTAGTAATATTAAATGTAATATAAAATATATAATTATAATATCTTCTTCTTCTTAGTAGTAGTAGTAGTAGTAATAGTAGTAGTAGTATATTGCATTGCGTTATAATATTATAAATATTTAAGGTACTGTCCCATTTTCTGGGCAGAGGCTACAAGCTGGTACTAGAAAGTGAAGCATAGTACATTTTATGGGAGTGGAGGGTGGGCTGAAGGACAAAAACCATTTCCTCCTGTATTCCTGTTATTCTGACCACTCATGTCCCCATCGTGGAAACCCCTTGTTTATAATATGGGAAGTGGGGAGGGGGAATTACCAGTGAAATAACCCCAGGAACAGGCCTAAAAAACCAAGACACAAAGTTTTTTTTCTTGTTGGACTGTATTTTCATTGCAGTATATTTGAGTGCCACTGGGGCATTAAGAATCATGGAGAATCATAGTGATAGTGATCGCTATATAACCAATTTTTTTCCTGGTTTATAAATGTCATTTTCTAAAATCATGGAAAAAAGTACTGTCCCATTATTCAGGAGGAGGCCACAAGGGGGTGCTAGAGAGTGTAAGTTAGTACATTTATGGAGGTGGAGGTTGGGTTGAAGGACGAAAACTATTTCCCTCAGTGTTTCTGTTATTCCCCCAATCCATGGTCCCCATCGTGGAAAAAAACACTCATTTATGATATCGGAAATGGGGAGGGGGAAAATAACCAGTGAAAATGGGGGAAATTTTCTTCAACTCCCCCCTTCTCTCTCTAGTGCCCCCTTGTGGCCTCCACCTGGATAATGGAACCAAACGGGAAACGTTTATTGAACTGCTAAAACTTTGTTTTTTGTACAGCACATTTTGCTATAGTTTTTCAATGAATATCTCATAGAGCAGTGGTTCTCAACCTTTCTAACACCGGGACCCCTACATATGGTTCCTCATGTTGTGGTGACCCCCAACCATAAAATTATTTTCGTTGCTCCTTTATAACTGTAATTTTGCTACTGTTACAAATAGTAATGTAAATATCTGATATGAAGGATGTGAAGGATTGTTACAAATTCAACATAATTAAAGCATCATGATTAATCAGAAAATATATATTTGGGGGAATATGGAAAACAGATTATGGGATTTGCAGTACCTTCAACCGATTCAGCGCTGACTTCCACAGACCACTGATACCTCCGCGCAGAACTCCCATGTCAAACAAAAAATACTGCAGGGGTTTGGGAAGAATTGACAGTGATTTAGGAGAGATGTAGTTCACCTACATCTGGAGAGCATTGTTAACCCAAACAACCGGATGACGAGAGAGCGAGGCAGGTGAGGCAGGCTTTGTGCGAGGCCTCGCGACCCCTCCGAAATGGCCAGGTGACCCCCCTGGGGGTCGCGACCCCCAGGTTGAGAACCGCTGTCATAGAATCTCAATCAAAAGCCACAAAAATGAAATATCTGGAGTCGAACAACTACTTTCAAAGTACCACACAACAAAAGAGGAAATAACACTTTCAAACCAGGAACATAATTTGTTTTCAAATTTCGTTAGATACTGTAATTAGAATAGATCGTGTTATCTTGCTACCTACTCATTCTTGTACGTATGCCCCCCTCTGAGCTGACAGATAGTCCACAGAGTGGCTCGGAGAATATGGATATTTTCAGGAATACAGTATTGCTATAAACTATGGCTGGAATTAAGTATTGCAGATTAAGATTTATAACTTATTTATTTATGACATTTATATGGCACCCTTCTCACACCATAGGGGACTCAGAGCAGCTTACAAGATATATATATATATATATATATATATATATATATATATATATATATATACACACACACACACACACACACACACACACACACACATACATACACACAAACAAACACAATATATTATATTATTAGTTGTCCCCTGCCACGCTTTGCTGTGGCTCACATGGGGGTTCTGTGTGGGAGGTTTGGCCCAATTCTATTGTTGGTGGGGTTCAGAACGCTCTTTGATTGCAGGTGAACTATAAATCCCAGCAACTACAACTCCCAAAGTATCAAGGTCTATTTCCCCCAAACTCCACCAGTGTTCACATTTGGGCATATTGAATATTCATGTCAAGTTTAGTCCAGATCCATCATTGTTTGAGTCCACAGTGGTCTCTGGATGTAGGTGAACTACAACTCCAAAACTCAAGGTCAATGCCCACCCACCTTTCCAGTATTTTCTGTTGGTCATGGGAGTTCTGTGTGCCCAGTTTGGCCCAATTCCATCGTTGGTAGAGTTCAGAATGCTCTTTGATTACAGGTGAACTATAAATCCCAGGAACTATAACTCCTAAATGACAAAATCAACCCCCCCCCCCAAACCCACTGGTATTCAAATTTGGGCATATTGGATATTTGTGCCAAATTTGGTCCAGTGAATGAAAATACATCCTGCATATCAGATATTTACGTGACGATTCATAACACGAGCAAAATGACACTTATGAAGTAGGAAGGAAAATAATTTTATGGTTGGGGGTCACCACAACATGCAGAATTGTATTAGGGGGGGTGCAGCATGAAGAAGATTGAGAACCACTGCTGTAAGTAGAGTGGATTGTGTTATCTTCCTACCTACTCATTCTTGTTATGTATGCCCCCCTCTGAGCTGATAGATAATCCAAAGAGTGGCTTGGGGAATATGGATCTTCTCAGGAATACTGTATTGCTATAAACTATGCCTGGAATTTAGTATTGCAGTTTATGATTCATAACTTATTTATTTATTATTTATTTACTATATTTATATGCTGCCCTTCTCACCCCAAAGGGGACCCAGAGCGGATTATAAGATATATGTACATACAATTATATTATACTATTAGCATAGTACAATATCAGTATTATATATACTGTACTATACCATTATATTGTAATATTATTAGTAATAGTACATGTAATAAAAATATCATATTATTATTAGTATCATATTGCATTACATTATAATATTATAAATATTATATGTTTATACAATATATTATATTACATATATTCGAGTCACAGATTTGCAACTCATTGGTATTTATGACAACTACCATATTTTCAAGTCTCATGAACAACTGATAGAAGATGACCATACTTGAAACCTAGAGATAACACTTCTGCAAGCATTTCTGGGTCCTCTATTGTAATTCTACAGTATTCTCTTCACATAGAAATGAAACCTCACCAGGACTGTGGCACAGCTGGCTGGGAGTCAGTTGCATTAAGATCACTACTGAGTCATGAGTTCGAATCCAACCCGAGTCGGAGTGAACTTCCGACCAATTTGTTTAGCTTATTGTCAACCTTTGTAGGCTGAAAGAAGTTGCATCTGTCAAGTAGGAAATTTAGGTACCACTTATGTGGGGAGGCTAATTTAACTAATTTACAAGGCCATAAAAATCTCCAGCAAGCACGCAAAGAATGAGGAAGTACTCCATCAGTGTCACAGATGGACAGTGAAGCGACACCTCCCTTGGTGGCCAGAATACTCTAATGAAAAAGCTGGATTGTGAAATAGTCTCTGTGTGTCTGTCTATGTATGTTGTATGTCTATGGCATTGAATGTTTGCCATGTATATGTACATTGTAATCCACCCTCAATCCCCTGCGGGGTGAGAAGGGCGGGATATAAATACTGTAAATAAATAAATATATATTTCAACAAGCTTGTGAAAATCAGCAGTGGTGGCCAGGGGAGCGTTCGCACAATT